CACATTTTTACAAAAATTTTTAAAAAGCAACCGCCTTGCCACATTCTGTTTTAAGATGTTTTTCAAAGTTCCGTTGCAGCACAGCTTGGCATTGCAACTCCCAGTCCCTTAAAAGAAAGCGTGTGTAGCAAACAGAGTCCGGATCTGGGAGCAGCCTGGTGTCTGCTCCTGTAACGAGCCGGCTTCGGACCTCGGGACCAGGCAGGGGTTGGTCCAGATGTGCATTCACTAAAGGATGCTGTGCGGAGGTCGCTGCAGGTCGGCGGTGCAGACTCCGCGGCAAACATCTAGCAGCCAGACACCTCCCGGGAGGGGAGCTTGGAGCCACTTAAAAGGTAGCTGGCAGCTAGACGCGTGATCGGAAAAAGGCAGTCACTGGGATTTCATGCAAACGAGCAATATCACGCGATAGGAAACATCCCGGCTTTCCTTCCTTGCCAAGCCAGGAGGTGAGAGAAGAGGCAGCAACATCACAGAGACACGGCAGGGACTTTTTGTTACAAGAGTTAATTAGAAAAGCCAAGAAAGCAACTTAATCCCGGCTTTGTGATGAAAAGTTTTCTGCAAAAGGCAACCAAAAGGCTGAGAAAGGAAACAGCCCAAGATCTTCCAAACAGTGACAAGGATTAAATTTGCAGCCCCAACCCAGACCCTTGCAAGCTCCAGGGGGTTATGGGCTCCCAGGTGATTGAGACAGGTGTGTTCCCATCAGGAAAGCTGAGCCAAAACATCATCTCCAGTGGTTAACTGGTGATGAAACTGCTTGGGAGTATGTGGCTCCCTCACCTCCAGGCCACCAGATATGCTGTTCCCTCTGTCTGGAGTGCTGTTCCCACTGCTTCACACCTGGCTGGCTCTCATGCATTCCTGCTCATCCCACTGGCTTTTGGACTGACCACATGCCCCACATTCACTACTCACCACTGCCCCCTCCTCCTTCTCCAGGCTCCCGCCAGCCTGAACTGCAGGCTTCGCCACAGGGTCGCCACAGCTCTGCTGACATCCAGCCGGTGTGGAACGCCCTTCTCCCCACCTTCCCTGGCCAATGGCTGTTCATCCTTGGAGCCATGGGTTTGGGTGCCTTGTCGATGCTGCCTCAGCCTCCCTGGGCTGCTTCATCCTGTTCTACAAAGACCTGCCTGTCTCTCCCACTACTCTGTGACCCCCCCCCCTTGGGCAGGTGCCATGAATCCTAAGACCTGAGCATGGTGCCTGGCATACAGTAGGTGCTCAATAAATGCATGCCAGTTGGGCGAGTATAGACAAAGCATGATTTGCACCTTTGAGGAATTTCTAATTCCGCGAAGTTGAGGCAGGCAGGCCTGCCGGTGTGGCTAATGCTGCCCCATGTGCGCCTGCAAGTGATAGTCCCCAAATGAGTCTCTTTAACAACAACAGCTGCATTCAGTGAGCACCTACTGTGTGCCAGGCACCTCACTAACTGTTTTACACCACTTTATGGCTGAGATCCCCAGACAGTTCCACCACTGTGCGTGTTTTACTAATGAGGAGTCTGAGGCTCAGGGCGGACGTCACGCAGAAAGTAACTGTCTCCGCTTGACCCCTGAGTCGCCACCCAGAGCCAGGTTACCCTCCCGCTCCGGGCTCTGTGGGGCCGCAGAGAGAGGGGGCTGCCCCGCAGGGGGTTGCTGATGGCCGTGGAGATGTGGAGGTCCCACTCGCCCCCTCCCAGCCCTCGCCTCCTCGCTGATCCAGCAGCTGGGCACAGCAGAGGCTCCCCCCACCGCCAGACACCAGGAGCACCAAGCTGTGTCCTCTCCAACCAGCTGGGACATAAAGCCCATCAAGAATGACACTGGGACAGTCATAAAATCAAGCCGGCCCACATCCGGCACTGACCAAGCAGAATGAGCTCAGATCGGAGAGGCTTATTTTGGGAAAATGGAAACAAAACAAAACCCTTTAATTGGAGCCATCTGGGAGCAGTGGCCTGGGGAGGGGGCGGGAGGGGCCAGGGTGGGGAGCTGAGCTGAGCTGGGAATTCGTGGGTGAGGCTGCCCTGCCCCCACGGGCATCAGAACCAGGCGGGTGAGCTGCTCCCAGCCTGCAGGTGGGGGGGATTGCAGCAGGGCCCCCCTGCCCCATTGTCTGGCCACCCATGGTGCCTGCTCTTCCTCTCCCATCCCAGCTCTTGGCAGCTCTGGGTGTGGTGAATTCCCGCCCCATGACCATGATGCCAGACACCTCAAGAGCCTGGCTGGCCAGGGCTGGACCATCTTTGGACCAGGTCTAAGCCCCAAATATGAATCGAGCTTGTCAGGTCTATTGTTTAACCTGGGGACAGCAAACAGATTTTGTCCAATTAATTATTGCCTAGGGCCTTGTGTTAAGGATTCCGAGGTCCAGTCTGAGCAGAGACATGACTGAAGTGTGCAGACTACAAGTCCGCAGAGAAGTGGCAGGGCATTCAAGACCATTGCAATAAATCAGGGAACAGATGAGGGGCTGAGCGAATGGCAGAGAGGAGGGCAAACACAAAGAATATTCCAGAGGATGAGCTAGCGATCTAGTGAACGCTGAAGTCACAGGGCTGAGGAGGGAGTTGACTCACAAGTTTCTTGTTTTGGTGCATAGAGAGACCATGGGAGGAAGGAAGATGCCTTTACCTTTTTTTTTTTTTTTCCATATGTATAACACAAAATTTGAGTCTCTGCTTTCAGTTCTTTTGGGTACATACCCAGAAGTGGAAGTGCTAGATCATATGGTAATTCTATTTTAGTTTTTTTTTTTTCTTAAATGGACCCCACTAAAAGTCACTGACTTGATTTTAGTTTTAACCTTTCACAAGTATAATCACCAGGTGTGAAGGTGATAAGGGATATTTTCCAGCACTTCTCACGGAAACTCAAATGGTAGGTTCTTCTTTGGGGTAAAACAGCCTCTTCTCGGTTTACAAGGTTATTTCCGGGTTGCAAAAATCCCCTCTCCTTGTTTCCCCCTGTGTTTTGTTTCTCAGTCAGTCTTGGTTGCCACAATCACACAGAAAGTGTGAGGACACTTTTTTCCTGCATCTGTAGTGGAAACCTTGGCAGCAGACGGTAACAGCTCCATGCCTGTCAAATAGATGCATTATTCTAGTTTCTTGAGGAATTGGCAAACTGTTTTCCGCAGTGGCTGCTCCATTTTACATCCCACCGGCAGTGGGAACGAGGCTTGCAGTGTCTCCGTACCCTCACCAACACTTGTTTTCTGCTTTTTGGTAGGAGCCACACTAATGTCTATGAGGCCCAATTTTTTGTATATATAACATATGTCATATTTATAACAGCTTCATGGAGATACAATTCACATACCATACGATTTACCCACTTAAAGCCTGCGGTCCAGTGTTTTCAGTGTATTCACAGAGTTACGCACCCATCACCACAATCAATGTTAGAGCATATTCATCCCCCTCCCCAAAGCAATCCTGTACCTATTAGCAGTCACCTCCCGTTTCCCCCGTCCGCATCCTGAACCCCCAGCCGGGACAACCACGGCCTCCTTTCTGTCTGTGTGGACTTGTCCATTCTGGACGTTGGATGCGAGTGGACTCACGCGGCACGTGGTCTTTGCGGTTAGCTTCTGTAGCGTTTGCAAGGCTCATCCACGTCGTAGCATGTGTCGGTGATTCGTCTCTTTTTATTGCCCAGGAATATTCTGTTCTCCCGTACACCACGTTTAATTTATTCATTCTTCAGTTGGCGGACATTTGAGCTGTTTCCACTCTTTGACTGTCACGAATAATGCCACTGTGACCATCCATGTCTACAATTTTGTGTGGACATCTGTGTTCATTACTCTGGGGTCTATACCGCGGAGTGGAGTTGCCGGGTCATATGGTGACTCTGTTGAACATTTCGAGGAACCGCCAGAATGTTTTCGGAGGTGGCTGCACCATTGTTTATTCCCGCTAGCAGTGTGTGAGGGTTCCGATTTCTCCACAGTCTCACCGAGACGTGCTAGTATCTGTCTTTAAAAAAATTTTTTTTAATTTTAATTTTTTATATTTAGAGATGAGGTCTCGCTCAGTTGCCCAGGCTGCAGTGCAGTCGGCATGATCATAGCTCAACGAAACCTGGGGCAGGGTGGCGGTGGGGTGGCAGGCTGGTGCCTAAAGCCTGAAGACCCCCATCTTGGTGTCGCTGGCTTTGGTGGGCAGCTGAAGCCAGGGAAGAGGAGAGGCCGCTCGGGGCAGGCGGGGAGCAAGCAGAGGGGCTCAGGAGGGGCCGAGGCGGTCAGGGAAGAGGAGAGAGCAGGGCAGACCCAGGAGGGTGGGCTGCACAGAGGCCCGGGGGTGGGGGTGACTCCTGAGGTGCTGGGAGTGCTCAGGCACCCAGGGAAGGCAGGGTCCCCTGGCTGTGGCCATGAGGGGCTGTGGTGGGGGTTGGGGGGTGCTTCGCAAGAGCAGTTTCCGGGGAGTGGCCCAGAGAGGCTGAATCGCAGTGGGTTGAAGGTCGAGGTGGGGATGAGGCCGTGATAGATGGAGACCTGTCTTGGGAAACTTGGATCAGGAAGAAATTGGAAGCTGGAGGGAACGAGGGGTCCAGGAGGATTGTGTTAGGGGTCTGTAGTCATTGCAAGGCAATGAGGCCAAAGGCACAGGTGGAAGGGTTGGCCTTGTTGGGGTATAGCAGAAGAAATAGCTTTCTAATGGTAGAGCAGGCTTTTTCAGGATGCAACAACTTCCTGTTGCTGGACATATTTGAGCAGGAAGAGACGGCTGCCTATCAGAGGTGTGCAGTGCAATTCCTGTGCGGGGAGGAGAGCTCACCTAGATAAGTGATGGCGAATACCTGGGAAGTATGCTGGCATTGTCCACTCCTGTGCCTCCGACAGGCATCACTAATTGATGGTGGCACTGCCAGCCCAGAGCTCTAGACAGCCTTTAACGGTGTGTCCAGGAGAGTTTATGCAGTGCAGTTGTCTGCCCTCCCTGGACCAGGGCTCTGACTCGCCCTTCCCTTCTGTAAAGTGGGTCCGTGTCTTCTTGGCCGCAGGGAAGGCCTACGAGATCACCTACGTGAGGCTGAAGTTCCACACCAGTCGCCCTGAGAGCTTCGCCATCTACAAGCGCAGCCACACCGGCGGCCCATGGGAGCCCTACCAGTTCTATAGCGCCTCCTGCCAGAAGACCTACGGCCGGCCCGAGGGCCAGTACCTGCGCCCCGGTGAGGACGAGCGCGTGGCCTTCTGCACCTCCGAGTTCAGTGACATCTCCCCGCTGAGCGGGGGCAACGTGGCCTTCTCCACCCTGGAGGGCCGGCCCAGCGCCTACAACTTCGAGGGGAGCCCTGGGCTGCAGGTCAGAGAGGGAGTGGCTCGGGGTCGAGTCAGAGGGTGGGACATGGGGGACCTGCTGGCCTGGGTCGGGGCCAGAAGAAGAGTCAGAGGGCAGGACACGGGGGACCTGTGAGGCCTCACGGTTTTCAGACTATACAGCACAGAAGCCTTTGTTGTGTCTGAACCTTTTGCGGATGCCCAGTAATAAACCAGACCGCAGGGGGCTGCAGCTGACTGGAGGTGTCCCTTCCCTGGCCTCCCGTGGCATAGCCCTGTGGCCCCCGGGAGCCCCGTGACAACCACCAACCCACCCAGCCCCTTCCTTATACAGGTGTGGAAACTGAGGCCTGGAGGGGCAGGGACTCTCCAGGGGCACACGCGGCGGTGGAAGGGCGCAGACGGAGCCTGAGTGTCCCCACTCGCAGCTGGCACTCTCTCTGGAACGCTCTGCCGTGGGCCTCGCGCCCTCTGTGAGCTGATAACAGGGCCTGGCCCGAGTGTGTCTGAGGGCTCTCCCACAGATAGATGGGAAAACGTGCCAAGAACGTGAGCTTTGGCGTCAGAGTCCCGGGTTCGATGCTGTCGGGCAGCGCTAGCTACGAGAACTTTCTGTGATGATACAAGTGGCCTCTGGCTCCACTGTCCAGCATGGGGCCATGAGTCACCGTGAAATGTGACTAGCACAACTGAGGAACTGGACTTTACATTGTATTTACTTTTAATGAATTTTAATTTAAATGGACACACGTGGCTAGTGGCCACAGCCGTCCATTCGGGGCCCTCCAGTTCAGCCCATGTGGGTCTGCTCAGGCTTGGGGTCCTGCGGTACTGGCCCCTGCGTGTCCAATTCCCGTGTGTCAGTCGCCACTCAGCCACAGACAGGCGTGCTGGTCTGCTTGGCGTCGCAGGGCCAAGCTGTTGGACAGCTCAGGAGGCCATGACCTTGGTGCAGACAGGCCTCCCTGTGAGACTTTCAAAGCACCTCCTTTGCCCGTCTGGGATAACAAGGCGGCCGGGGTTAGAATCCTGTTTGTTTACGGGGGGACACTGAGGCCCAGAAGAGTTTATGTCCTGCCCAGGCCATGCACCCAAGAAGACATGGAGTCTCTCCAGGACCACCCGCAGGTTCAGTGATTCACCGCACTCAGAAAGCTGTTACACTCACGGTTACGATTTATTGTGATAAAAGGACACGAGCTAAACGAGCCAAGAGAAGAGAGCACGGGGCAGGGGCTTCCAGTTGTCCTCTCCCGGGGGGAATCACGTGGACGGCATTTACTTCTCCCAACTGCGACGTGTGACAGTGTGCACAGAGCATTGCCAACCGGGAAACCCCCCTGAGCCTGGAAGTCCAGGGTTTTTATTGGAGGTTGGCCACGTAGACACGGCCGACCTGTCTCCAGCCCCTGCAGAGGTCAAGCCGACACTGTGTGGCCCAGGACCCCCACCAGAGATCACAGGGTCAGCACAGCCTCTCTGATGTGGCCCAAGGGAAGACACGCCTGTCAGATGGGACATTGCAGGGGCTTAGAGGTCGCTTCCCAGGAGCCAGGGGCAAAGGGCCGGGCCTCTCTTCGGGCCAGGTGAATCCTTTACCCCAGAGCCACTTGTGCAGACATCCAGGCCCTGCTTGTCCCATTACAAGTGTCCACACGTCCTCATCATGATTTTGCTTAAAATTCGTTTCTTCTCCATGGGGCTGCAAGCTCTGTGGCTGAGAAAACCTCAGCCAAGGTCAGTTGGAGACAAGCGGAAGGGCCTGCGTCTGTGCGCTGTCACCTGGGCAGAGGCTTGCGCTGAGACCCGGGGCAGGTGAAGGTTTTCTGACTTGGTGCCTCATGTGTTCTGGACATTGTCCCCAGGGGTGAAATGACCTTTCCAGAAACGCCTCCCCCGTTTCTCCCAGGCAGAAGCCAAGGTCTGAGGACAAAGAGAAGCCAGCCTGGCTGGCCCGCTTGCCCTTGTCCTCTCTCTGGACACATCTGGGGGGCGGGGTGCCTCTGCAGGGGACACGGAGCACCGAGGGATGTGGCTGCTGGGCTCAAGTGCCTATGTCCCCACGGAGGGGCCGAGGACCTTGGGGGAGAAGCCAACCCGGCCATCGCAGAGTCAGGCCACCAGATTGAGGGGTCGCCTGAGCACCATTTAGACCACAAGCTCAAGCCGTCCACCTCCTTCCTCTCCTAACGCCACCGTCTGGATCCAGGGTCTGTCCGCAGCCAGCTCCGGTGCTCGCACGTCCTGCAAGCTGGAGCCTGTGCAAGTTGCAGACACCCACTGTCTGGGTACAGGGCTTTGCTTTGCCCTAAAGTGACCTTGAAGGCATCAAGGAGCCCCTACAATCTGGGCTGGTGAAAACATTGCCCCCAGCTCCCATCCTGTGTCTCAGAGACTTTGCCCCTTCACTGCCGTTGTCTTCACAGACTGCTGGAGCAGGGCGCGGGCCAGGAAGCGCATGCAGGAGCCCCGAGGAGCGTCACTAATGGGCCAGAGACTGGGGGCAGGTTATCGTCCTCTCCGGGCCCCACTGTATGAGGGTGTGGGGTAATCACAGGAAGGCGGGCTAGCCTAGTGGTTAAAGCCTGGACCTGAGGGTCAGATAGACCCGAGTCCCGGCTCTGCCGCGCACTAGCCGCGCCACTTGGAGCGGAACACTTACCCTCTCTGAGCCTCCGTCTCCTCGTCTGTAAATGGGGTAAAAACGATCCCACTCCTAGGGTTGCCGTGAGGACCCAGCCCTAGTCACACAGCGAGGATCAGCAGCTGCTGTGCATCGTCTGCCCTGACATCGGCTGGTTTGAGTTCTCTTGCGGGCACTTTTTCTGGAGAAAGAAGAGTCGTGGTGCCCTTGGCTGCGGATGGCTCGTTGTCTCCAGCCCAGGCCTCAGCTCCTCGGTCCTTCGCTGCTCCGGGGACCAGCAGCACAAGCGTGGCCTGGGCGCTCGTGAGAAATGCGGGGTCTCGGGCCCCGCCCTCCCCTGAGTCGGGAGCTGCATCTGGCCGGGTTGCCAGTTGCATGTGGACCTTCGAGAGGCACAGCCTTGGGTGGCTTGGGGAGTGACCGGCCCGCGAGCTCCAGCACAAACTCGGCTGAACGCGGCAGCTCCCTCTTAGTTTTCTGGGCTGGACCCCTCTCCCCGGCCGAAGCATCCCCGGCAGGGGTCTGAGCTGCTGAGCTCGGGGGGGAGGGGGGAGGGGGTCCCCTGGCCCGAGCCGTGCTGGGGGGAGGACAGACTGCCAGGAGCTCGTGTTCTGTGCTGATGGCCCCGATGGCCGAACCCGGGGCTCCTGGGCTGAGTGGAAATGCTGATTAACATGCGGCACAGCCACCGCTGATTACAGCAGCAGGTGGATGAAAATGTCAGTCTGCACGTGGGTCCCCCGCTCCCCCCACGCTCTCCCACGGAAGCTGCTCACTCAGCGAGCAGCAAGTGTTTATCAAGCGCCTGCTGCGTGCCAGGCAGGGCCTGGGGGTGGGGACGCGGCGAGAACAAGGGCCCCAAGTCCCTGCTCTCCTGGGGCTTCGCCTCTGGTGGCAGAGCTGTCACCTGGGACAGGTGACCTGTCTGCAGAAGCTGGATCCTCAGCAAGTGAGAAGCCGAGAACCCAAGGGCCCGCCCCACGCGGGGCCCAGCCGAGCAGGGGAGGAGGTCGCTGGAGCACGTCCTCCTTCAGATGACCTCTAGAACGGGTGGGAGCCCTGCGCAGCGGGGTCTTAGATGGGCCGCTGCAGCCCGCCCCCCACACCTCTGCTGCCTCCTGAGCTGTGCCAGACTCACGCCCAGCGCTGACACTGGCCTTCGTCCTCCAAACACCCTTGTGGGGGTGTCCTTGTTCCATTTCACAGATGGGGAAATGGAGGCTCCAAGACACTGAGCAAAGTTGCACAGTCCATGGGTGGCCTGTCCGAGGCTGGCGTGGGCCCAGAGCACCGGCTCCTTATCTCTGCAGTGTTCTCAGAATTCGTCTGGGCCTGGCCTGTGCTGCGCCCCAGGAGTCCCTAGGTGGCCAGCTGGCCCTGCCAGGACTGCGGATGGGCACACACGCGTGGTGACCTGCTGATGGTGTCCCTCTCCCTTTTGCCCCAGGAGTGGGTCACCAGCACCGAGCTCCTCATCTCGCTAGACCGGCTCAACACGTTTGGGGACGACATCTTCAAGGACCCCAAGGTGCTCCAGTCCTACTACTACGCCGTGTCTGACTTCTCTGTGGGCGGCAGGTAGGCGGGAGGCAGGCCCAGTCCCAGGGTGAGGTGGGGTGGGGGCGGGGGGGAGCAGGGCCCCAGCGCCGGTCCTCAGAGGGGAGGAGGAAGGCCTTGGTGGCCGTCCCCACCCTGCCTCCCCAGCCCCTGCGTCGGCCGCATCCACTGCACCCTGCTGCTCACCACTTTCTGGACGCTGGGTCTTTGCACGCCGTCCCCTCAGCCTGGAGGTCCTTCCCTTCTCCCCACTGACAGAGAGGTGCTCCCGGTCCCACCCCCACGCGCTCTCAGCGTCCGGTCAGTGCAGTGGGTTTTGTCTGATTCTCCTGCAACATCTGTCGTCCCCTCTGCGAGAAGCAGGGTGCCCAGAAGGCAGAGGCCCAGCTCTGCCTCACATTCCAGGGCCCATCCGCATGTGGCCGCCTGGCACTGGGTGCCCAAGGGGACCGAGGGGGCACGAATGTCTGCAGCATAAATGTTTCTCAGGTTTCTTCTTTGAAAGGAGCCCGGAAGACAGATGTGTTCCTGCCCCAGTCACTTGGGGGCGGCAGACACATCTGGTGGCTCGCTGGTAAACATGTCCGCACCAGGACAGGAGGCAGGGGAGAGGGCGTGCCCCAGGGTCGGAGGTCAGGAGGTCAGGGTGCTGCAGACAGCTGCAAACTGGGGGTGCACCAGTGAGTGGGAGGCAGGGCTGGAGGGCGCAGGTGCAGTTGAAGAGGGTCAGGGCCTTGGCAATTTGTCCTTGTCCCACAGTCACCGGGAAGCTGCAGAAGGGTTTGGCCGGGGTAGTAACTGCCCGCAGCCGAGTCGGGAAGGATACAGGAGGGGAGAGCGAAAACGCAGGTTACAGCTGGGGTTTGGCGGGGATGGGGGGGTGTGGAGAAGCAGCTCCCGTGTGAACGACAGGCCGTGGGGATGGGAAGCCAGATCGACACCTGGCTCTAGGCTTCTGAGGTTCAGGGGCACGGGTGGCGTTGGTGAGATGGAGACAGTGGTGGGGGGCGTGGGGCCCAACCGTCTGCACCTCGGGGCGTCTGCACACTCCAGGGAAGCCTGGGGCTTGGGAGTGCAGGGCCACTGGGGGGCTGTGAGGTCCCCTCTGCTGCTCCCCCGATACACTCTGTGTGTCAGGTCAAACCTCCCAGGACAGGGCTCTTGAAGGGTAGCGGACAGCGCCGTGAGCTCCAGCGCCTGCCCTCAGGGGGCTTCGGGCCAGAGAACATCTGGGCCCCAGCTGTGAAATAAGACCACCCTGGGATCGCCAGCTGGCCAGGGAAGGCTGCTCCTGGCGGGGCGCGGGTGGCCCCAGCAGCCCAGGCCCCATGATGGCCCACAGGATCTCGTTGTCCTTCACTGGGGTCAGAGGGCTTCATGGAGGAGGGTGGTGTTTGCAGCACCCCCTCTGGGACAAGAGTTGGTCCCTTGTCACTTCCCTGGTGACCACTGTCTCCATGACTGCCTCACCCTCCCCAGAAATGCAGGGTGCTGTGAGGAAGCACTGCCACGTGCCTTCCTGCACCCTGTGTCCCCAAATAAGAGAGAGCACAGGGGCCCTGGCAGTGGCCAGTGGTTCGTTGATATTCGCTGAAGGCGGAACGTGGAACGTGGCCTGTGGGAGCCACCAAGTGGCCAGAGGAGTGTCCAGGAGCCCAGGGTCTGTGTGGAGCAGGAGAGGACAGGCTGCAGCGTCGAGCTCTCAGCGCCAGTTGCCTCCGAGGCCTGAGCCTGTTTCCTCACCTGTGCAAAGGGGTTAAGGACGGTCCTCCCTCCCCTGTGGTGCGGCTCCTGCGGGGACACCTTGCCTTGGTCTGGGGCCGGCCCAGAGCGAGGCCGGGAGTGGACGGCCATGGTCATCCTCTAAGTGGCTCAGTCTGGCCCCTGGGACAGGGATGGTTGTGCACAGGGTCAGGCTCTGCCAAGCATGCTGCACGACCCAGAGCGAGTCTTTGTTCCTGCCCGACTCCATCTCCAGATCCTGTGGGTGGCCTGGGGACGCGGGCCCAGGGCTGCGCTCAGAGACACTGGGGACTTGTCCCCTGGATGGGACAACCTCTTGCCCTTTGAGACACGGTCACAGGACAACCTCAAGAGGCAGCCTCTCTGGGCCCCCACGCCCACTGCCCTGTGACCGCTGGGCCCCCCTCCACCCAGGAGACTAAGGTGACGGAGGCGTCCCTAGGTGGGCATCTTCCCCATGCCTCAGTTCTTCCGTCTGTTAAGTGGAGCCAGGACCAAGGTGTGGGCTGTGTAGGACACAAGTGATAACAGGCTCGCGAAGATGAAATGGTTTATTTTGTACAGAGCTCACTACGGCCAGTGCGGTCAGTTCTCTGGCACTGCTGCCCCCGAGGCACGCGGTGGGTGATCAGTAGAGGCCACGATTGAGTGGTGGCCTGAGGGGCTGCCTGGTATTAACCCCTCGTCTGCCCTGCTGGTGCCTCCGGATTCTCCGCCTCCATGTCTTTCCCAGGTGCAAGTGCAACGGCCATGCCAGCGAGTGCGGCCCCGACGGGGCGGGCCGGCTGGCCTGCCGATGCCAGCACAACACCACCGGCCCCGACTGCGAGCGCTGCCTGCCCTTCTTCCAGGACCGCCCGTGGGCCCGGGGCACGGCCGAGGCCGCCCACGAGTGTCTGCGTGAGTGTCCTGGGGCGTCGGGGACCTGAGGCTGCTGGTGCAGGCCAGGGAACAAACTGCTGAAACTCCGCAGTGGGGGCTGCTCCTGGGCGGGCCCGGTGGGCAGCTTGGGGTCCCTGTGCTGCTACAGGGATGGGGAGCTGACGGGAGCCTGGGGGTGCCTTTGTGTCTCGTCCTTTCCCTGCAGAGAGCTCCCCAGACCAAGTCCCCCCAGCAGAGGCGCCATGGCGGAAGGGCCCACAAGGCCGCAACTTGTTCCTTTGTTTTAGCTGCTCCCGGCCCAGGCACTAATGAAAGCCAGGCCACCCCAGGCATGGGGGTGCCGACCTGCCCACCCAGCCTCTCCCACAGGCCCCCAGGCAGCCCTTTGACATCCCACCCCCCACCGCTCCCCGTTGTGTGATGTGGCTTTGACGACCTAACCGCAGAGAAACACTGGGGAGGGGACGGTGCCGTCATACCTTCCCCAGGGACGCGGCGCTGCGCGTGGGGAATCTGCCGCCTTCCCTGCTGGCTGGTGTGCCGGCTGCCCCATCGCCCACGCCCTGCCCTGTCCCCACACAGTCATCTGGTTTCCTTCAGGCTGTCGCCAGGCCTGGGTCCCGGCTGGCGCTACTGCTACTGGCGGGGCCAGCGTCTGCACAGGCAGGCTCCAGGCCTGGCTTCTTGGGCTGGGCCACTGGCAGCCAGAACTGGGGCAGGGAGGGGACAGCCTGTTCTGAGGGACAGGACACTGTTCTAGGAGCTGCCCTGGGGCCCTAATGGGTTCCTGCTGCCCCGCACGCTGCCTCCACCAGGGAGTCCTCCCAGGCCAAGGAAGCCGTGCTGGGCGGCTTGCACGTTCTGGGCCTGCAGCTCTCTCCGTGGTAGGGACACGCCTGGCCAAACTGCTTCTCCTGCCATGTCCTCAGCCCTGTGGTCACATCCTTGTTTCAGGCAGCCCCTCAGCCCTGAATTCTGCCCCATCAGCGTCCCTTCAGTCCATCTCACTTGTGTCCTACACAGCCCACGCCTTGGTCCTGGCCCTGTCACCTCTCCTCTGGGTGCGCGAAGCTCCCTCTTCCCTCCTCTACTTGCAGTCAAGCCTCCTTCCAACGTGCAAATTCAATAGCATCCACTCCCTGCCTCGACCCTCCTGCGGCTCCCCTTGCTCCACGCGGACGTCCCCTGACCACAGCGGCCCAGCCTCCTTGGAGCAACTCTGCCCACCTCTGACTTCACAGCTGCCCCTGCACGACGCCACTGCACGGTGTCCCCTCCCCTCCCGTCACACGCATGCCTGCCGCAGTCCACCTCCTGCCTGCAGCACGCTCCCCGCGCCCGCCCCGCGGCCGACTCCCGCTCGGCGCTCAGAATCAGCACAGCCACGACTTGCTCCCGGAGGACTGGTCCCGGCACCCAGCACGGCCGCAGGGGCCCCTGCCTCCAGCTCCCAGAGTCCCCTTGCTCCGTCACAGCCCTGAGTGTGCATCTGGCCTCCATCAAGCCGCGGCAGCGTGAGGGCAGCAACCAGGGCCACACCACTCGCTGCCCCACGCCCTGGCTCGCCACGGGAGCCGAGATGCAGCCCGGCCTTCACGTGTACTTTTTAGAATGACTTAATGAGCAAATGAAGGGTGACGGGCGTTTTCTGTACACCTGAGTGATCTCAGCCACTGGGAACCAGATTCATGCTATTATCATGGCTTAGAGAACCCACAGGGATTTTGGATTGAGCCCCTCCAGGAGGCTGTCAGCCTCTAATCTGTGACCAGGTGACCGTAGAGCCTGGTTTGCCTGGTCCTGTTTCTGCCTACTGTTTTGACGTATTTACTAACTGTGTCCCTTTTGCTCTTAAGTGTCCTGTTTGGGAAAATCAGTCAGTTGGTCTCCATATCCTTGATCAAGCTGAGCCTGAACTCCATTCTGGACCATGCTCTTGCCCTTCCATGCGCTGCCTGCTCGTTCAGCACAGAGAGGCCGATCGGGTAGCTCACGCGCACCCTCCCACCTCCTGCCCACAGCCTGCAACTGCAGTGGCCGCTCTGAGGAATGCACGTTCGACCGGGAGCTCTTCCGCAGCACGGGCCACGGCGGGCGCTGTCTCCACTGCCGTGACCACACGGCTGGGCCACACTGCGAGCGCTGCCAGGAGAACTTCTACCACTGGGCCCTGCGGGTGCCGTGCCAGCCCTGCGACTGCCACCCAGCAGGTGAGTGGGCCCCGCTGCCCCAGCCTCCACCCGCACCCTGGTCTGGCCTCCGCTGCCCTGTGCCCTTCCTCCCCCAGGCTCCCTGCACCTCCAGTGCGATGACGCGGGAACCTGCGCCTGCAAGCCCACTGTCACGGGCTGGAAGTGTGACCGCTGCCTGCCCGGGTTCCACTCCCTCAGCGAGGGAGGCTGCAGGTGAAGGCGGCTGGGGGTGCAGGTGTGGGGGGCCCAGGACGGGTGCTCAGTGGTGTACTTGGACTGCCTGACGGGGAGCGTGAGGGACAGGATACTGGCTGTCCCCTCCCCTCCCCTCCTCCCTCCCCATCTTCAGCATCCAGTATTCTGCGTTCTGGGGAGGATCAGGGCCGCCCAGCCCTGGGGAGGCAGAGAGACAGACACTTAACAGGACCGGGTGCTGGCTCCTGTGGAAGCCCGGCTGGGCTGGGGGTGGAGGGCTTCCCACAGGCAGCGCAGAGTCCCGGTGCGAGAGAGACCAGATGAGTGCCCCCAGGGCCAGCGGGGGAGGGACGGGGGTTCCAGGCTGGGGAAGAGCATGGCAAAGGCTCAGAGGCAAGTGCAAGGAGAGGCTCAGCGCAGGTGAGCAGGGCGGGAGGATGTGCAGAGCAGCAAGATCCAGTGGGGCCTCGGTGGGGCCTCGGAGGCCTGGGGAGGGTTAGGCAGAGGCTGGTGGAGGCTACGGCACGAGTGCCCGGCGGCCTGTGGGGCTGGGCTGTGGAGAGGCAGAGAGCAGGCAGGTTCTGGAGCCCCTCGCAAGGCAGAACTGGCAGGACGTGGTGATCAGGAGGAAGGCACGGAGGGCGGCCCTCAGGGTCCCTGCCCCAGGCACTCTGGGAGGCCAAGGCAGGCGGATTGTTTGAGTTCAGAAGTTCGAGACCAGCCTGAGCAAGAGTGAGACCCCGTCTCTACTAAAAAAATAGAAAGAAATTATCTGGACAACTGAAAATATATGGAAAAAAAATTAGCCGGGCATGGTGGCGCAAGCCTGTAGTCCCAGCTACTCGGGAGGCTGAGGCAGTAGGATCGCTTGAGCCCAGGAGTTTGAGGTTGCTGTGAGCTAGGCTAACACCACGGCACTCACTCTAGCCAGGGCAACAGAGTGAGACTCTGTCTCAAAAAAAAAAAAAAAACTCACCAGTAGACGGGGACCTGGCTGCTTGCCCGGCGTCTCTCTGGCCTCTGGACCTTGGCACGTGCCATTCCTCCTACCTGGAGCATTCTGCGCCACCCTCCCTGTGTCTAGCAGACTCCTCATTCTTCAGTTCTCGGCCGAGGTGCCCCTCCCACCTCCCACCTGCCCCTCGCCTCCACCCCCAGGCTGCGTCAGGTGCCCTTCCTGGGGCACCTATCACGTGCAGGGTCTGTCCTCACTGGACATGGGGTTCATGAGGGCGAGAGTCATGGCTTGTCACGTGGGTGGGTGGATGGGTGGAAGGGAGGTTGATGGATAGAAGGATGGAAGGAGGGATGGGTGGATGGATGAGTGGGTGGGTGGGTCACTTCCTTGGTCGTCTCGGGAGCAGGGAAGGGTAAGGGGTTTTCTCCCTGGGGCGGGCGGTTCCCACTCTGAAGTTGCTCACTGGACACTCTGCTTGGCAGACCCTGCACCTGCAGTCCCGCTGGCAGCCTGGGCACCTGTGACCCCCACAGTGGGCGTTGCGCCTGCAAAGAGAATGTGGAAGGCAACCTGTGTGACAGGTGGGTGAGCCGACCCAGCAGTAAGCCTTCTGGAAGTGACCGCGGGGGTCCCTGATGAGGCACAAGGCTGCGGAGTGGAGGGAGGGGCAGGGGCCATGGATCTGCCATGGAAGTGGCATCCAGGAAGTTACCCAAAGGCTTTGTGGCACCGTTCACTCCGCCCCAACGCCACTGATGGTTCATCAGCTGAGAAAAGACATCTTCTTTCCCAGCTCAGAATTCTGAAAAGAAAGAGCTGGAAAGGGTAGGAGAGATCATGTCATCCAGAGATGGCAAGTACACGGTGCTATACCGTAACCCCCCGTGCAGACATCACGGATGAGCATAGCAGTCAGGACCACGAGCCCTACTGTGACCTCAGGATCCTTCTCGACACCCTACTTCAGGAAGCCCCTACCAATTGCTCTGAGATTCAAGGCTGTTTGCTATCCCTGTGGTCCCACCATGTTACACATGGGGCATCCGAACCCCAGTGAGACGAAGGGTCCTGTCCACGGTCACACGGTCTATAAACAACCTCTTCCGAGCGTTCAGGTGGCCTCTGAGCTCCGGCAGTGGGGCTGGCAGGCAACATGGGTGTAGCTCCCTGGGTACACGCTGTCTCCTCTTCCTGGCTTTGTGTCTGACTCCCGAGGGCTGCTTGGGGTAGAGCTGGTTCTAGGGCAGGGCAGGGAAGAGATGAGATGAGCCCGGAGCATCTCGTGGGGCCAGAAAGCGAGGCAGTGCTGAGAAACGAACACAGATACGAACAAGGCAACCAAGCCGGGACGGGCTCCTGTGTCAAAAGGACACAGGCGCCAGCCTGAAGGAGCTCCCAAAGCTGGAACGATTTGAGCAACAAAATAAATAATGATACTACTGGATTATGACCAGAGAATGAAGTAAACATCCCCAAATCCGTACTGATATAAATAGATGATTGAATAAATAAATAGAAGGGGGCGAAGGGACAAACCTGCCTTGTGGAAGAACTCCCGATAATGTGGACGGAACGAAGGAAATAGAAAACCCCTGCAGGGCGTGGCCACTGGGCAGTGCTGGCGGCAGTGGGCAGAACTTTAAGGAGAGACAGGATATTTGCGTAGCCTCAAAACAGCTCCCTCAAAATACTAGTTAATGGGCCAGGCGCGGTGGCTCACGCCTGTAATCCTAGCACTCTGGGAGGCTGAGGCGGGCGGATTGTTTGAGCTCAGGAGTTCGAGACCAGCCTGAGCAAGAGCGAGACCCCGTCTCTGCTAAAAATAGAAAGAAATTAATCGGACAACTAAAAATATATAGAAAAAATTAGCCGGGCATGGTGGCGCGTGCCTGTAGTCCCAGCTACTCGGGAGGCTGAAGCAGGAGGATCGCTTGAGCCTAGGAGTTTGAGGTTGCTGTGAGCTAGGCTGATGCCAGGGCACTCTAGCCCGGGCTACAGAGTGAGGCTCTGTCTCAAAAAAAAAAAAAAAAAGATACTAGTTAATGACTGTGGTGGTTTAACACATGTCCACAAGTTCTTTGCTACTTCTCCTGCCAGGAGGTGGAGCTTAAGTCACCTCCTTTTGGGAGTGGGCTGGGTTTAGTGACTCCTTTCTGCCGCCTAGAACACGGCATTGTACAGTGGAGACTGGCAGGCCACACCCTCCCCAGGTCACGAAGCTAACCGTGCTCCGGTGCCACGTGGGTTTTGCGTGCCCCCGCGTGGCGTGATGAGACGGGCACTTCCCCTCTGCGTCTTTCCTCCCCAAACCCATAACCCGTCTACTTATGAGAAAACAGACAGGCCCCTACTGAAGGGCAGTCTAAAAAATACCCGCCCGGTGCTTTTCAAAAGTGTCAAGGTTATGACAAGCGCAGAAAGACCAAGACGCGGTCACAGGTGGAGGAGAACAAGGATAGCACTAAACGCAGCGCCACAGCCTGGGTGGGGTCCTGGAGCAGAGAACGGGCAGGACTGGAACGTGGAGAAACCCTGACCAAGTCCGGAGCTCAGTTGACGTTAATCAATGTTAACGCCTCAGTGTTGATAAATGTACCTGGTAATGTCGGGTGTCAGCCTCAAGGGATGCTACGTGAAGCAGATAAGGCAATCATCTGGACTGTCTGGGCAACTCTTCTGTAATTCTGGAAAAAAAATGTTAAAAAGTTTCCCCAGTGATTTTGGACTCATGCCCTGGGCCTGCCCCTTCCTAGCCGGCTCATGTGGCCCCTGTGGGCATGTCCTGCCTCCATTCCAGGTGTCGCCCGGGGACATTTAACCTGCAGTCCCACAATCCCGCCGGCTGCAGCAGCTGCTTCTGCTATGGCCACTCCAAGGCGTGCGTGGCCGCCGCCCAGTTCCAAGTGTATCACATCCGCTCCGATTTCCACCAGGGTAAGGCGTGCCCCCTGCAGCCAGCCCAGCCGGCAGGCCGTCCTGCCCTGGGGAGATCTTGCGTTGGTGGGGTGGGTGGGAGAGGCCCCTCGGCCCCCGCCATGGTGGAGGGGAGCCCTCACAGCCTAGGTGGGGTTGGGTGTGAGACGGTGGCTCCCCAGGACCTCCCTGCAACCCCTGGGTCACTCCCGGGTCCCTGACTTTTTTCTTTACACTCCTGGGTGGGGGCCGGGGCCGTGGCGCCCTTTGGATCCTGGAGGGGAGTTTCTACTCACCCTGTCAAGATTGCCTCCCTTGGTGTGTCTAAAGCCTGGGGATTCAGGCTCAGTCTCCTGGCGTCCACTTAGTGGGCACCTGCTGTGTGCCAGGCATCGTGCTAGCTCCCGACGTGCAGGGAATCTCATTCCCCTCTTACAGTGAGGTAGCTGAGAACCAGGAAAGGTAGGTCACTTGCCTGAGCTCACAGAACTCAGCCGTTGGTGCTGGGGTTCATCGCTCCTGAGTTACCTGCCGTGCGGGCTCTGTCTGGGTCCCCGGCTCCAGGTGGCACAGCCGGATTTTCAGAGCAGAGCTCTGAGCTTCCCGTCAGATCAGAGCGTGCCTAGGCCCCAGGGGGCGCCCCCTCCTCCCGCCTGGCCCCCCGGAGGAGTGGGGACGGGGACAGAACCTCAGGGCTGGCTCTGGAGCGCCCCAGATGTGGGGGCCGCACGCCCTCTGCTGGACGCCGCGCAGAGAGCAGGACCAAGGGGCCTGTGAATCGCGGTTGTGTGTTGCCCGGAGTCCAGGTGTCAGCCAAGGGCCAGGCTCGTTTCCTAGACCCTGAGAACAGTGTCAGGATCTGTTGTCACCTGGAGCCGGGCCTGGGCTAGGTGCTGCAGGGGTGCCACCTCATTTTCTCTCACAGTTGCCTTTGGCCAGCGGTTCCCAAACTTTGGTCTCTGGCTCCCTTTATGTTCTTGATCTTGAAGGTTCCTGAGGACCAAAGCACTTTTATTCATGTGGATTGTTTACACGGATATTTACTGTATTACAAATGAAAACAGTAATTTTTTAAACACCTACTTATTAATTCATTTTAAAACAGCCATAGCGAACCTATTACGTTATAAAAATAACACAGTTTTGTGAAAAATAACTCTTTCCGAAAAATAAAACATTTTGTGAGAAGAGCGCTGCTCGCTTCTCGTTTTCATAAATCACGTTACGGTCTGGTTGAAGAGAAGCTTGTGCTCAGTCGGCTCCGGCCACTCAGTCTGCAGTGGTGTCGTGCTTCCTGCAGCTTCTGGAAAGCTCCACTGAATGCTTGCAAGGGAAAAAGAATGAGAAATGCAAATAACATCTTACTGTTAGTGAGAAGATAGTTTGCTCTCACGGACCCTCAGAAGGGGTCCCAGGGATCTCCTGGGATCTCCGGACCAACTTTGAGAGAACTGCTGCCTGGGCCATATGTGCTTCATTATCCCCACTTTGCAGATGAGGAATCAGCTTCAGAGAGGTTAAGTAACTTGCCCAGAGTCACACAGCCCACAAGGAGCAGAGCCTAGTCCAGCACCGAGGAGCCTGGGCCTCCCCTCTCTGAGGTCTTCCCCCTCTCTCCATCCCTTCCTTCTCGGCCCCAGGTGTTGGGTCTCCATCCCATTTCCCAGCTGCCCCCTAGAGAGCGCCCCCTTGAGGTCATTTGCTCTGTGCCGGACTGTGTCCGGCTTTTACTGCCGCGGCCAGAGGGAGGAGGACGGACTGAGCCAGCACTGGGGACCAGGATGCCTGGGTTCCTGTCCTGGCTGGCCCCCTTCCTAACCAGGTGGCCTCCCTGCGGGCAGTGGTGTTAATGACACACATACCCAGAAAGACCTAGTGAGGTCACGGGTGAGAAAGTTCTCTGAAGCCCTGAAGACAAGGTCACGTCCAGTATTGTTACCGATGGCCCTGATGTCCTTGGGCCCCCATGTGGGCATCTCCGGTCTGTGTCTTCATGTTGAGCTCAGAACCCCCCTGAAGGGATAGGGCAGGCCCCGAGGTCTGTCCGTGCCCCAAGCAGAGCCTTCTCCTGGGCTCCCTCCCACCCTAAGACCTCTGCTGGAGCTGTCACCTGGAAGCCACCCCCCAGGGCCTCACACTGACGGGCATGTTTGTGTCTGTGTTTGCTGTCTAGGAGCCGAGGGCTGGTGGGCCAGAAGTGTGGGGGACCCCGAGCACCCCCCGCAATGGAGCCTGAGTGGGGTCCTCCTGAGGCCGGAAGAAGAGGAGGAGCTCACGGCACCAGGTACCTGCCAGCCCCAGGCCGGGCACACCGCCCTGTGTGGGTTTCCTCGGCTGCGGTAACAAACTGCCACAAATGTAACGGCGGCAAACAGCACAGATTTACTCCGTTAGTGTTTGGGAGGTCAGAAGTGGCTCTCACGGGGCTGAAATCAGGGTGCCAGCAGGGCAGTTCCTTCTGGAGGGTCCGAGGGACAGTCCATCCCTTGGCTTCTCCAGCTTCCAGACGCTGCCTGCGTGCCGTGGCTTGTGGCCCTGTTGTCTTCAAAGTGGGCTGGGTCTTTCCCACGTCCCATCCCTGCCTCCGACTCCCCCGGCTCCTTCTTCCGTCTTTAACGGGCCCTTGTGATTACGCTGGTCCCAGATGGATCATCCAAGATGCCCCCCCCACCTAGGGTCAGCAATTAGGACACGGACACCTTTGGGGGTCGTTATTCTGCCATCAGACCAGGGTGTGGGATGAAACCCCCGTTTTCCTGGTCACAGCCTTGCCACCCGGGGCTCCTTCAGTGCCATGGAGCACCCCCCCCGCCGGCCGCTGTTAGGCCCCAGACAACCCCTGCGCATTTTCCATCTGCCCCATCAGCCCACCAGGCTACCACGCCCCGTGCCCAGGGCCGTGGGATTCCTGCAAAGGGAAGGAAGATCTTAGTTTTTGTGCACCACCCCCGCCATTCGGGAACTCGGGTCTCCTGGCTCTGTCTGTGTCCCAGAGCCGGGAGCTTGGAGCCCATTCTTAGCTCTACCGTGGCCAGATCCAAATCTGCTGGCTGCCGGCCAGTCCTGCCCTTTCCCTCCCTCTCCAGGAAGGGCTCGGTGAGGATGCCACAGGTGTCAGGAGCGTGTCCGCACAGCCAGGAAGCAAAGAACCCTCAGGCCCTCTCGTGGGGCAGATGCTCCAAGCTCAGAGGCCCATGAGCGAAAAACGTGCTCATGGCTCTGTTGACATATTTGAGAAAAAGGAGTTACTTGCTCAAGAAGTGTTTGCTGGGTGCTGTGCTGGGTGCTGGTCACACTGCAGGGGCGAGGCGGGTGGACGCCCTGCCCTTACAGCGCCCATGGCCGGCAGCTCCTGGGGCTCCCTGGGCAGCTGGGGGTGAGGGCGCGGCAGGGAGGGAACACAGAAACAAGCCTCTGGGCTGCTTGGTGACGGCTCTCGGGGTTAACGAACACACGTACTCTCTGGCCCAGCGGGGCCCCTTCAGTGTCCTGCCTACTGGCATCTGTACTCGGGGCAAAGATGTGTAGCCCAGGTGTTGAGTGAGGCAGAGGGGGCTGCTGAGTCTGTCGCTGGACTGTGATGCGGCCGTAACAGAGCCTGCGAGTGGCAGAACGGTGCATGGCATCATCTTACATGCAGCGTGTGTGCGGACGAGGACGACAGGTGAGCATCGCCCTCGCGCTGGTGATTGAGGCTGGGCGCTGAATTGGGGTGCAGCTGGGGTGGGGCCGCCAAGTCCCAGGGCTCTGAGACTGCTCCCTGCGCAGGCGAGCAGATCCTCCAGCCAGAAAACGCTCTTGGGCAGAGGAATGCGGGGGCTTTCAGCTTGTTCAGGACCTGCCCACCAAAGTTGTCACAGGGCAGGTGACCAAATTTGAGGGACCCATTGTGGAATTAAAATTTTCCAAAAAAATAGAGGAAAAGTGCCATTAAAGGTACTAAGATATAAATGCTTTGTCCTTTCTTCTGCAGTTTCACCCTCAGTTTGTCATGGTGTTTTTTTGTTTGCTATTTGATGTCATTCTAGGTAAAGAAAAATTAACATTTTAAGTTATTGGCATGAGTTTTATCACTCATTTTGATGTTGTGCAGTGCTGACCCAAGCAAATACTGGAGCGTTTAACTCGTGTGGAATCACTGAAATGACATAATCTGGTTTTCGTAGCTCATACGTAGATGCGTATTTTGTTTTTACCAGAACAGTGGAAACACTGCACAAAACGCCTCCAACCATTGTTATTTTGCTTCTCGATATGCACATGTTCTACCAACACGGTCTGCCCTTGCTTGCTCGGGAGTAAGCAAGTCTGCAAGGAAAAGAGGAAGGAAGGGTGGCCCGTTCTCTCTCCTAGGTCACGGTTTTCTGCACAAGTGTTTGGCTAACACAGGGAAATAACACGAGAAGGCATCACACAGGCCTCCTTGGTTGTCTGTGTTCTCAGAACACCTGTGACTTCTTCCCACTTTCGGAGCAAGTTCTGATGGGAATGGGAGGCGTGGCCTGGGGCCTGGCAGCATCTCTGCTTAAGCAGCCAGAGTGCGCTTTCCACGTCCTCGCCTTGAGTCCAACCTCCCACATGCTGGGGGCACGGAAATTCTGTGCTCATGCGCCATCGTGAAGGCTACACGTGAGTGGGTGGCAAGGCCCTGCTCATGTACAGACTCCACTGTCCCATCAGACGTCACTTACAAACCCAAGTTCAAAGATAAAATTTTTAAGAATGTCAAGACAGTGACAGCAGAGCGTGAAACCAAGCGTGGGGCCCAGCGTGACTGCCTGGGTCACATACCTGTGAAGCCAGGGACAGACGGGCCGCAAAGGTGTGCGCTGGCCACCTCCAGGGTCTGCTGTGCAGGGAGCCTTGGTTTTCTACTTAACTACAGTTCTGTCTTGTTTGAACGTTTAGTTGCCAATAAAATCAATATGGACACTTAAAGTCAAGCTAACTATATGAAGAGTGTCAAAGCTTTCTTCTCTTGTCTTCAGAGAAGTTCCTGGGAGACCAGCGGTTCAGCTATGGGCAGCCCCTGACACTGACCTTCCGGGTGCCCCCTGGGGGGTCCCCACCCCCCGTGCGTCTGAGGCTGGAAGGGGCAGGCTTGGCCCTGTCTCTGAGGCACTCCAGCCCCCAGGACACCAGGCAGCCCGGGGAGGCGCAGCTCAGCTTCCTGTAAGTGTCCCCCTCCATCCTGAGAGATGGAGGTCAGGGTGGTCTCTGAGGTCCGGGCACACTTCCGACGCCCCTGTGGTCATTCTGTCCTTGGCGCCCCCTGCCCCGTGTCGGGTTCTTGCATTGACTGCTTCTCCCTGCCAGCCTGCAGGAGACTTCCGAGGACGTGGATCCTCCGCTGCCCTCCTTCCACTTCCAGCGGCTCCTCACCAACCTGACCAGTCTCCGCATCTGTGCCGGCCCCAGGAGCCCAGACCCTGCCGGTCAGTGATGATAGCAACGTTCCCCCAGGACCTGAGTGCTCGCCAGGTCACAGGACTGGGCTGGGCTCCTTTGGGTGTGGCCTTGTCACCTTCTCACAGCACGGTAGTTATTGTCCCCATTTTACCAAGAAGGAATTTGAGCTCAGAGAGGGCAGGACGCTTGCCCAACGTCACATAACCTGTAAAGGCAGCAGGAATTGTGGCTGTGGACAGAGGAAGGGGCTGGACAGGTGAGGGGCCTAAGGATGGACAGCTCTAAGGAGCAGTTGTGTGGCCAAAGAAGCAGCCAAGAGGGTGGGCATGGTCACTCCACCGTCACCCTCAGTCCCTGCAGCCTGGGTTTCCCAGGAGAGCAGCTCCCCTGCTGGTGACTGGCGGTATTGCACCGAAGCCGCCCCAAGAGTGGGTTGGTCTGGTTTTCTGTGTCTTCCCAAAGAGGGGGCCAGGTTATCACACATCACTGACAGGCACTTGTCACCACCTCCCACCCTGGTCTCACAGTGATTGACATGGTTTTCTTCCGACCTGTTCTTAGTGATAATGTACCTCAACACAATGTGAAAAATCAATATATAATAATATCCTAACTATAACGTACAGAATACATAAAAAGGGAGGAAATGATATAAAAATAATCCTGTGAGTTCCAAATGGTCCGTGCTCAGGCATGAGCACACTAGAAGACATAGGAAGTGGTCAGAGCTTCCCCGATGTAACAAGTAAGTTTGGGTTTAGGAGAAGCAAGCAGCTCAGAAGCCATTTACATGCGTGGGGGGCAGGGCGCGGGAGACAGTCTGGGTGGCCAGTGCGAGGACAGAAGCCAGTGTGGTCAGCAGTAACCCGCAGACGCAGGTGAGGAGTCACTGAGGGCAGCGGTCACCGGCAGGCCAGGGCACAGGGAGCGAGGGTGGCACAGCTCCGCCACCTTCACCGTGAGGGTCTTAGAAAAGTTTACTTGGGCTTGGTGGTTTCGTTTCAGTGCTTCGCGAGGGAGAACGCTCGGCAGAGTGACCGTTCATTTGTGGGTTAACCCTGTAAAATCAGGTTTCAAACGTTCAATAGGGTATGATTAACCCTTATTCTTTAAAGGCTTGTAGTTGTCATTTTGAAACATAACTCAGTGGGATCATGAGTGGGGAAGCTGCAGAAGGGCCACTGCGGGATAGGTTGTAATGATGATGGTGGCTGAACCCAGGGGCTGGGCTGTCGTCGCCGGGTGAATGGTTGTCGGGGAGATTCTGAACAAAACAAAGCACGGTGTTCCTCCACCTGCGCGCCGGACAATTCCACGTGCACTTACAGCATTCAGAAATGCCTCGTAGCCCGCGCGGTGGCGCTCGCCTTAGTCCCAGCTACTCAGGAGGCTGAGGCAGAGGGATCACTTGAGTTGGAAACCAGCCTGGGAGATGTTTCGAGACCCCGGCTGCAAAGAAACGAGCCTCGTGCCTGTGTGTAAAGTGGAGTTGGGGTGTAGGCTCGGATGTTTACAGAGGGGTTTTCTGCCCTTTCGGCAGGACGTTCGAGGGTCACGGGGAGTTTCTGCACACATCCCTGTGATAACATCGTTGATCCATAGACCGCCTTTGTCCACCTGGGCCTGCCGCATACATGAACAGGAAGGTCTGGGGAGAAACACGTGCAGACCTTCCTGTTCTGCTCTGCAGGCCAGGTGTTCCTGACCGAGGTGCAGCTCACGTCCGCCCGGCGGGGGCTGTCCCCGCCGGCCTCCTGGGTGGAGACCTGCTCATGTCCCCAGGGCTACACAGGCCAGTTCTGTGAATCCTGCGCTCCAGGATACAAGAGGGAGACCCCACGAGGGGGTCCCTATGCCAGCTGTGTGCCCTGCACCTGTAACCAGCACGGCACCTGTGACCCCAACACAGGTGAGTCTCCCAGCACCCCATCCTGAGGCCCCCGGGGCTGTAGCCACAACAGTGAGATGAGCACTGACCCGGATGGAGTCAGCCTGGCACAGGTGCCAAGGAGCTGGCCAAGCTGTGGGCACTGAGCCATCTTGCACTGCCTGCCTGGGCATCTCGCATTTTAATAAAAGTAGTGACTGGAATTTATTGAAGTATCGGGCTCTGTGCCAAGGACTTTGTATGCTTCAGGTCTCTGCAGCCGTCTGTCCCTGGCCCACCCTCTCTCTGGGCTGGCCCTCCTCCTCCCAGGAAGGGACAGGTAAAGGCCTCAGCGGTCCTGCCGTGCAGGGGCTGCCGTAAGGAACGGCAGAGGCATTAGCACAGCAGGTGACGGCGGGGGGGCTCTCATGAAGGTTATGCAGGTAACAGCAGCTAACAGGTGTCCATCTAGAGCCACAAACCTGCCACCCTGACACCTTAGTGGCCTATGGCCTTGGCAAAGTCACCCCCCCCCCGTCCCTTGAGCCTGCTTGCTCCTCTATAAAGTGGGGACGATGACGGTAAATACACCACTGAAGTTGTCCAGACGAGGCCACGCAGAGGTCAGGAAATCCCCAGGCTCTGAAAACACAGACGTGGTTTTCACCAAAGCTCAGCCATTGCTACCTGAGCTCACCTTACAGTCTTCGCCTGGGAAATGCAGCAAGCAAAAGTCCCTACTCTTCAGTGCTGTTGGGGAAATAATACAATAGCGTCACCAGCTTCCTCCCCGTGCTAGCCACCGCTCTGCCTGCTGCATCACCGAGTCCTGCAGAAATCCCTGGGAGTGCCCGGACCATTGCTGTCCCAGCTCTGGTTGGGGACCGTGCGGCCACATGGCCAGCAGGTGGCAGAGCCGCACTGCCCTGTGGCCCAGACTCCAGGTCAGCTGGTCACTCCAGCTGTTCCTACTCAGGCTTAGAGGCGCCCACCCGCAGAGAGGGCTATCTCCAGGTCACGTGGCCTCTCCCCGGAGCCCCTGGGCTCTCTCTGAGAAGGGGAAGACCAGCTCAGCGTTTTTCTCCCTGAAAAGATAGCAGCCTGGGAGTTGGCAGACCTAGCCAGGGCCCGCAAGCACACGGGGGCATCCTCCCTCCTCGTGCCCAGGCAGGCATCACTAATCAAGCTGGATAGGGCCTCATAATCCTTCCTGCGGCACTGCTCCAGGCAGCCCCTCTTGAGAAAGCAGAGTCCTTCTACGCGCTGGGACCAGGTTGTTACCCGCCATGTAGCCTCTGGCCCTGCCGTGACTCCCACTTTGTTGGGCAAGTCCTCATCTTTGAAACGGGCAGAGCCCCGCTGCCTGGGCTGGGAGGAGTCACAAGCCTTTGGGTGCTGGGCCCAGGCAGGGACAGTTCCCCTGGGTGCCACCCCTGCTGTGCATGTCCACCCAGGGCTCCCACTCATCTCCTGGCTGGGCACTGCTGGGGGCCTCCTGCAGGGGTGGCCTCGGTTAACCCTCTCTAAACCAGGTTTCTCACGTGACCCCTGGCAGTGGGGCCTCCCCACGTGCCCGGGATCTGAGCAGATGCCAGGAGCTGTTGGGCTGGAGGAGGGGTTTGCAGAATCCACCATCTTCCCAAGCCAGAGGCAGGGGCGGGGTTCCATTCTCTGAGACCAGGCAGCGTCCAGGTACCCCCAGGCCCCACAAAAGGAGCCTCTTTGCAAAGCTGTGTGCAGGCCTGAATCCCAGATCAGTGTGTGCCTCAGGGCCGGTCAAGCTTCCTTTGGTCCCTTTGAGTTAAGAGGACAACATCGTGAGAGTGAAGGGTGGCCACGTTGCCTGTTGGTTCAGAGGGCTTTCGCAATCCAAGGATTAACGGTACCGACCGTCTGTGTGCCCGGGAGTGTGCGAGGAGCTTTGAATGCATGGCTCATTGAACGCTGGTGAAGGCCTTTGAAGTCAGTGCTGTTGCTATTCCCACCCTGCAGGTGAGGGACTGAGGCATGGGTGTTAGACGACTCGCCCAGGTTCGCATGGGCTGTAGTGGCAGACACGAACCCAGGCTGGATGGGCTCCGGCCTGGACTCTTCAGCCCAGCCGTGGTGCCTCCACTGTGGGAGGGTTCCCGAGCCACTTCTACCCAGGATGTGCTCTGTGACCTCCCCCATCGGAACACCCACCATCTCGGGGTGTCCTGGGGTCAGGCAGCAGTAAGCAGGTGTTTGTCTTGCCCCTCAGGGATCTGCGTGTGCGGCCACCACACCGAGGGCCCGTCCTGTGAGCGCTGCGTGCCTGGTTTCTATGGCAAGCCCTACACAGGCCAAGCTGACGACTGCCAGCCCTGCCCCTGCCCCGGACAGTCAGCCTGCACGACCGTCCCGGAGAGCGGGGGGGTGGTGTGCACCCACTGTCCCCCAGGCCAGAGAGGTGAGTGGCCCCACGGGAGGGCCCAGCTCTGATGCCCTGACTCTGCCCTGGGTTTGGGGTGTGGCAGGTGGGGAGAGCCCAGTTTAGGGGTGGCAGGTATGACTTCTGGGGTCACTGAGTCCCTTAGCCCCATCGCCAGGGCCCCAGGCTGCTGTGGGTTTCTGGCAGACTGTGTGTGGGCCATTGAGCTTTTGAAAACACCTGTGTCCGGGCCCTGGCCCAGAGAGCCTGGCGTAGCTGGAGGTGCAGCCCAGGAACGTGGATTCCTAGCAAGTTCCCAGGGTGATTGCGATGCACAGCTAAGGCGGAAACCTTCGATCAAACTTCCAGCTTTTAAACATGTCATCAGGCAATGTGTGAGGGAGAAACTCCCCGGCCCCCCGGCCTCTCCCTTCTTCACCCTCAGAGACAGCTCCAATGTCTGATTTTTTCAAAAACGGCTTTATCAAGATTTTATTCACATATCCAACACTTTACCCACTTAAAGTGTACGATGACCTTTGGCATGTTGCATTAACAATATTTTATTGTGGTAACGCACATAACAAAATTTGCCGTCTTCACCACTCTTAAGTGTGTGACTCAGTGTCGTGGAGCATTAATACATTCACGGTGTCACGCAGCCATCACCACCCTCCGTCTCCAGACCGTTTCCTCATCCCACACGGAAGCCGTACCCATTCAACTCACTGTCCAGTAGCACTCCGCCTGCGGCCCCTGGCGACAACTGTCCTACTTTCTGTCTCTCTGCATTGATTCCAGGTGTCTCATTTACGTGGACTCACAACATTTGTCCTTTTGTCTCTGGCTTGTTTCACTTAGCGTGGTGTTTTCAAGCCTCCTAGACGTCTGGTTTTGCTTTCAGTACCTGTGGCTGCACTAAATCTGTCCTGTCAAATGAGCTGCTTCTCCATCCTGTCAAATCCCATTCTGAGCACAGCTCCCTGGCAGCCAGCAGGGCTGGGCGTACGGCCCCAGAGTGGGCAGCCCAAGAACCAAGGGATTGAGGTCCCACTGTGGGACCCTGCACCCCACCGGCCACCACGCTGTCCCTCCATCTCCGTAAACTTCCCCACGTGTCTGGCTCCCAACTGTGGCTGTCCTGATCTGCAGATGTGAGGGAGGCCCACCCAACGACAGCGAGAGAAGCTCAGGCCAACCTGGGCTGAGTGCACCGAGGGGAGGATTTCAGGGGAGCAGGCCCTGGGAGGGAGGGTCGCCTGGATGGACTGTGGATCTGGGGCCTCCGCCAGGCCCGAGCCCCCTTCTTCATCCACACCAGCGTCCTTGGCCTTGTGAGAGCCTGGCACACGCAGAGCTCACCTGGACGTCTGAGGCGGGATGCTCCCCACCCGCCCAGGATGACACCTGCCCACCATCCTGACCCCTTGCAGCCCTGCCAGGATGCCCGGAGCCCCCTCCTGGCCTGGGAGCTGTCCCACCTGGTTCCAGGTGGATGGCCTCCTAACTACGGGGCTCCCCTCCCTCCTCACCAGCTTCCATCTTCCCCCGCCCTGCCTGGCTTCATTTCTAGTCTAGAATCCCAAAGGCAGGTGCTAGCCTCGACCTTCACCTCTGTTCAGATTTTTCTTTTCCTTTCTTCCCTTTTCTTCCTCAATATCCCTCCTTTCCCTTTTCAAGGTTGCCCTCAGGGGCACTGACTGGATTCCAGCTGGACTGATGCATTTTGAGGACACAGGGAGCTCACATGTGTTTTTCACATTGACAACAGCTATTTTTTAAATCCTAAAATCGGTACATACTCGTTACGATGATTGAAGCAGTGTAGAAATCTGCAGAGCAACACAAAGATGCACAAGGCAACTTCACACGCCCTCATCTCGCCACCCCGTGGGGGCCAGGGCTGCTCTCGGGGTCTGTGGGTCCCCCAGACTTGTGTTGCATGTAGGTATACGCAGGTGTGTTCACACGAACACACAGCACAAGTATGTTTCTTTATGCCCGTCTGTCCCCAGTGGACATCCCAGGCCACCACGCTCCAAAAGCCTCCTTGACAGCAGCTTTTCTGGGGCTCACAGTGACCCTGGGGGCTGGAAGATGAGGCGACAACTGCAGGTCAAACCCAGGGAGTTGGGCAGGAGTCTGAGACACACGGTCCAAAGCAAGCTCAGAAACCACAGGGAGCAGGGCCAGGCGCGGTGGCTCACGCCTGCAGTCCTGGCATTTGAGGAGGCCAAGGCAGGAGGATCACTTGAGCCCAGGAGTTTGAGGTTGCCGTGAGCTGTGCTGACGCCATGGCACTCTACCCGGGCGACAGAGTGAGACTCTGTCTCAAAAAAATAAAATAAAAACTGCAGAAAGCAGAACAGGTGACCAGGAGCAGCACATGGAAGAGCAGCTGAGGACGATGGGAAGGAGGGAGACAGGGACATTGGACGGTGGCAGTGCAGGCGATGAGGAGGAGGAAGGGTGATGAAGATAATGGTGAAGCTGATGTGAGGTGAGGATGATGAAGGTGACTGAGGTGCTTGTGGACACAATGGTGAGGGTAGTGGTGAGGATGACGAGGACGAAGAGGTGACGACAGCACTACCACGGAGCACTTATCACGTGCCAGGCTCCACGTTAAGTGCTTTGTGCAAATATGTCGCGAACCCTCTCAACAGTCCTGTGAGGGAGCTGCCCTCGCTGTCCCCACTTTACAAAGAGCCCGAGTTCAGAGAGGCACAGTGGCTTGCCCGAGATCACACAGCCAGTGGGCAGCGCTGGGGCCCCACGTCTGCCCGACCCAGGAGCCTGAGGGTGCCCCTCCCCCGTGGGCCCCGCGGCTGGCGCCCTCACACCTGCCCCCGCTACACACAGGGCGGCGCTGTGAGATCTGTGACGATGGCTTTTTTGGGGACCCGCTGGGGCTCTCCGGGGCCCCCCAGCCCTGCCGCCAGTGCCAGTGCAACGGCAATGTGGACCCCAACGCCGTGGGCAACTGCGACCCCCTGTCTGGCCGCTGCTTGCGCTGCCTGCACAACACGACCGGGGATGGCTGTGAGCGCTGCCGGGAAGGCTTCTACGGGAGCGCCCTGGCCCCGCGGCCCGCAGACAGATGCGCGCGTGAGTACCCACCCCCCGACCCCCGGTGGGGCACAGTGGGCCCCTGTCCTTCGCCCTGGCTCGGGGTCCAGGTGGGGCGGCCCCTCTGCGAGGCTGTGCAGCTGTGGGCGGGTTGCTCCCCTTCTCTGTCTCGTCTCCTTGCCTGGACCGGGTAAGGGTTTGGTCTCCTCCGGGTCTCTTCCACCCCTGAGATCCAGCTCTGCTGCTGCGACTTGTTCCCTGCCTTGGTAATTTAGCGGTTAGCTTGTAAGGCTCACCCAGTGAGGGTGACGGTCCTGCCCCTGGGTTAACACTCAGCCCTCTGTGCCCCTCGGGGCCACAGCAGCCTCAGCCCGTAGAAGCTCCCAGAAGCCCTGCAGGAGAGAAGCACTGCGTTAAGCCCCAGACTGAGTTGCTCCTGGGTCCTGCTGACTTGCTTTACGCAGCCCCTTCGGGAAGTGCCGCGCTGGCCTGGGTGAGATGCTGCCCTTGCGGTGGCCAGGAGAGCAGGGCCACGTGACCCAGGGCAGTGGGTGCAGGGCTCTGCCTCTGACCCCCGCCCGAGTCGCTGGCCTTCTCTCCAGCCTGCCAGGGCCCAGGGCATAGCCAGTGGGCTGAGATTTGAGCTCAGCCCTAGAACCTTCTTCCGGGAGGGGCTTAGGAATCTGGACTGAATGTGCGTCATCTTCAGGGGCGCCCCCATCTTCCCTGCCTCTCCTGGACACCCAGAAAGGCTGAGCAATCTGCACTGTTCCCCAACACTCCTTCCTGCTCCCACCCCCAGCCTGCAGCTGCAACCCCAGGGGCTCGGTCGGTGAGCAGACACCCTGCGACCCAGTGACGGGTCAGTGCGCCTGCCTGCCTCACGTGACTGGGCGGGACTGCGGCCGCTGCAGCCCAGGCTTCTTCGGCCTCCAGCCTGGGAGGGGCTGCCGGAGGTAGGTGGGTCAGGGCTGTGGGTGCCCTGGGGCCTTACCCAGGGTGGAAGAAGGTATCAGGCAGCCTCCAGGGAGGGGCCTGGTTGGAAAGGTGTCGTCCTAGGCCCACTGCCAGGTACACTGTGCCCTTCACCAAACGGGGACAAAGGGACTATCCCTTGGCGTCAGACTCATGGCCCTGCCAGCCCCGGTCTCAGGCCAAGAGCAGCCCTAGGGGATATCTGAGTGGGCAGGTGGCCAGTTTGATCTCTGATTCCCTTCTCAGTGACGCCCATCACTGGGTGGCCTTTTTGGCCACAGTGGCACCTTAGACAAGTGTCTTTAGGGAACAATGGAGGACTCCAGGGAAATGCTGAATGAAGCAAACAGGTTTCTTCCTTGCGGGACTTCTCAGAGCCTTTAATATGCTAATTGCATTGTGACTTTCCAATGGAGGGGTATAGTCTCTCCAAGATGTATTTGTTCCTGTAGCCTTTTTTCTTATCTTTTGGCAAGCATCCTCTAAGACTGGTACTTCCCAGGGCACAGCTTGGGGAAGCTGATGACGCACTGACAGGATACAGGCCTGGAGGTAGAGTGCCGTGATCCGAAGGCCCCTGGCCAGCTGCAGCCTGCACGGGCCGGGCTAGGAGTGGCCCAGAGCTTGCCTCAGACCAGGGTTCTTTCCCTTATCACAGCTGTAAGTGCCACCCGCTGGGCTCCCAGGAGGACCCGTGCCACCCCAGGACTGGGCAGTGCCCCTGCCGCCCGGGTGTTGTGGGCCAGGCCTGTGACAGATGCCAGCTCGGTTTCTTTGGCTTCTCCATCAAGGGCTGCCGGGGTAAGGAGTCTGGGGCCTTCCCGGGCTGCCTGGAGGGTGGGCCTGAGGTCTCAGGGCAGGATGACCAAGGGGAAGGTGCGCGTGGCAGGAGAGAGGATGGTCAGACGCAGGGCAGTTCTCCTAAGAGCAGCTAAGTTCCTGTGTGCCTGGGGCCATCTTGTCACCTCTCTGGGCCCCGGTTTCGTCACCTGCATGGTTGGGCTGCATTGGCAGTTCCCAAACCTGGCTGGTCCTCAGATCCCCAGGGGACATTCAAGGAAGTCAGGCTCTCAGTGTCCCGTCCAACCTCCTGAATCAGAATTTCCAGGGAAGGGCCTGGGAATCTATGTGAGGCTGCCTGGGGGCTTCTGGGAGCTGCCAGGTATGAGGACAGGGGGCCAGGGGGTTCCAGCGTGGGGCCGGCCATCAGGGCACCCAGCGCCTGCTGCCACCCCACTCCAGCCTGCAGGTGCTCCCCGCTGGGCGCCACCTCGGCCCAGTGCCACGAGAACAGCACGTGCGTGTGCAGGCCCGGCTTTGCGGGCTACAAGTGTGACCGCTGCCATGACAACTTCTTCCTCGCGGCGGGCGGCACACAGTGCCGGGAGTGCCCACTCTGCTACGGCCTGGTGAAGGAGGAGGTGAGTCTGCCGGCCCAGGCCCGCTCCCCCATCCTGTCTATCTCACATTCCCAGCGAGCGCCAGCTGCGTGCCGAGTGCCAGGAACGGCCCGCTCCTCACCGGCTCTGCGAGCCCGGGGCTGCCCTCTCCTTGTGCCCGCCCTGCCTCCCTGCCCATCCAGTCTGGCCCTTCCCCTGCTCCAGGTGGCACTTGTCAGCTGCCCTTCCCGACCACCCTGGGCCGAGGTCCCACACTTTGTCAGGTTCAGTAGGGATGAGACCCCAGACGACCCCTTGGTAGGGAGGGGCAACGGGAGGCGATGCCCGTACTGGGGCAGAGATAGAACTTCAAGCGGGGTGGTGGGGCGGTGCAGGAGGCCAGGGCTCGAGCTCTGGGGTTAACCCGTTGGGGTCCCCCGCCGCCCCCGCCACATTAGTGTCACGTATGCAGGCAGGCAGCAGCCCTCGTAAGCCTCAGTCGCTCTCCTGCTCCAAACCCTAGATAGGTCGGGCCTGCAGCCCCACCAGAAACCAGGGGCAGCTTTCCCACATGAGGTATCGTAGGATGATAAGGTGGCGTGTACGGAGCATCAGGTGACGTCCCCAGCTGCACGTGGGCTGGCCCCCATGATCAAACCCATGGATGTTTCTGCAGGAAAACAGATGAGTATTTATACCAAGTGGGTAAATAAAGGCCACATGTAACCTGTTTCAGAACAGTTTTACTTCCAGATCAGCGCAGGTCAGATTTTCCTGTCGAGTAAGGAACGGAAAGCCGTGTGGTCTTTCAGAGTATTCCGGATTTCGGAATCAAGGACAGGGCTCCGGACCTGTGCCCTACCACTCAGAGTGGGTGTGGGGGCTGGGATCTAATAAGTTCTTTGTAAACGCAGTTATTGTTCATATGGCTAAGAGGCGGGGCTGGGGACGTTCATAGCACACTCAGCCAGCAAATGTCCCCGGCACGCCTGCTCTGTGCCAAGTCCTTGGCATGCAGGGAACAGGACGGACAGAAATCCTCATGGTGCTTCCCTTCTCGCCCCTCCTTCGCTCCCATGGTAGGACAGAGGTGTGGTCGGCTGAGTGTCAGCAGGGGCCGTGGGCGTGAGAAGGGAAGGGACAGCTATGCCGGGGTGGGCAGGGTTGGCTCTCAGAGGTGTGTTGTGCCCTTAGCTTCGAGGCCCCAGGCAGGGTTTGGAGAAGGGAACCTGCAGGCAGAGCAGGCCGGGCAGAAGCCAGCAGGAAGTGTTTGGCCAGGACTTCAAGCCTCACGTACCTTTTCTTCCTTGTCCCCTCCAGGCGACCAAGCTGAAGGCCAGACTGACCTGGTTGGAGGGGTGGCTGCAGGGGTCTGACTGCGGCAGTCCCTGGGGACCACTAGACATTCTGCAGGGAGAGGCCCCACGGGGGGACGCCTACCAGGGCCACCACCTGCTGCCAGGTACGGCAAGAGGGCAGAGAGGGACACCGGAAAGCATGGGAGGGCCATGCGGCACCTTTAGTATGGTCTGACTGACGCTTTGAGTGCTCTCGCGATGCGGTCCTGTAGCCCGCGGACCTCCTGCGATGTCCTTAGGCCCCTTGTACTTGTCACTCTGTTAATACCAGCCTCTGTCCCTGCACCCCTTGCCCCACCCAGACTCTAAGCTCAGTGAGGACAGGACGGGTTCGTTCGTTTATTCACTCTCTCTGCATGCTGAACAGGGTCCTGCTGCCTTGATTCTGGGCATTTTGCTTGTTTCATATCCCCAGTACTGTGCTTGGCACGTAGAAAATAAGTTAGAAAAAAGGAGGAGACCTGTTACTAAAGCCAGGTGGGACTTGGCCCTGGGGCACAGAAATTCAGCCGGCGCCGAGAGCAAATGGGTTGCTTGGTGAACTTTCCCGTTCATGAGCCCCTCCGCTCCTTTCGCAGCCTGACACAGGGGAGCTGGGCACAGGCTGGCAGGACTGACCAGCGAAACGGGGCTCTCAGGGCCACATCTTAAAACACCCACACGTGAGCGGCATTGTGAATTGCAGAGCTGACTCGAGCGGAGTGTCGCTGCTGTTCCCGATTCAGGAATTGCTTTTGTGGCTCTGGAAGGCCTGGGTCCCTCCTGGCCCCCGTGTGTGGCTGACTTGAAGCATGTGGCACCTTGGGTCGTGATTTGCCTTCTCTGGGCCTCAGCCTTTCCATCTGTCAAATGGGGAGACATTTCCTTTGCAACTAACTGTTGGTGCCCGGGGCTGGTGATGAAGTTCAGCTTCCAGGAGAGTGGAAGGCACAAAATGGGGTCCCTGGGGGTGGGGGCTTTAGTGTGACATCTCCATGGCTCTGTGACTCTTGGGCTGTGGGCTTCCTGCAGGGGCCCGGGAAGCCTTCCTGGAGCAGATGACGGGCCTCGAGGGTGCTATGAAGGCCGCCCTGGAGCAGCTGCGGGTGCTGAGCAAGGGTGCCCGCTGTGCCCAGGCCAGAGCCCAGAAGACCTGCGTCCAGCTGGCAGACCTGGAGGTGGCTCTGGCGTCCTCAGAAGAGGAGATTCTGCACGCAGCCACCGTTCTTCAATCTCTGGTACCCCAGGCACCCCCTCCTGCTGAGCCTGAGCACTGATCCCTACCCCAGCCCTGCCATTGCCCTGGTGACCCTGGGCAGGCCTCCCCACTTCGGGAGGCTCAGTTGCATCTACAAAATGGGGACCGCTCTGAGCCTCCTGCGTGGATTCGGTGAGAAAGTTTGCAAAAAGCGGGCACGTGGCGAGTAGGCGGTGGATGCGCACTAAGTGGCAGGCGGCGTCATGTTTGGTATCTCTGCGTCCTGCGGCTCTGCTCCCCGGAGGCTGACTTTGTGGCCCTGCCTGTGTGTTTATAAAATTACTGGCACCGTTCAGTTCTGCCCAGTAATTTAGCGAGACGTGGCCCTTGACCTTCAGGCCTGGGCCATCCGTTTCTCTTTTCCTCTTTTCTCTAAAGGTGATTCCTCAGGAAGGGCCTGGCCAGCCCAGCCCCTGGAGCCATCTGGCCACAGAGGCCCGCACCCTTGCCAGGAGGTGAGCCCCAAGGCGCCGGGGTCCAGGGTCAGGGTCAGCCCCACAGAATCAGATGACACGAAAGCTGCCTGGCGGGGGGTGAGGGAGCAGGTGTCACCACCATGAGAAGAGAAGGATGGAAGCTGAGTGTGAGCCCAGGGATGTTGGGGGCAAAGCTTGGACTGAAGGCATCTGAGAGCATCCACTGGCTTTTTTTTTTAATAACAGTTTTATTGAGATATAATTCACACACCGTACAATTCAGTGGTTTCACTGTACCACAGAGCTGTACAACCAGCACCACCGCTAGTCTGGGAAGGCAAGAGGCCATGTGGCAGGGGTGTGAGCTCCCGCCCATGGTCAGACGGGCATCTTCATACAGCCACAGAGGCAGCGCCGCCAAGATTGAAGCCGCCGCCCGGAGGGCCCTGCTCGCCTCCAACGCCAGTTACGTGCTTCTCCGGAGTCTGGTGGAGGGTACGGTGGCCCTGGAGACTCAGCGGGAACTGGAGGACAGGTGAGACCTCCCAAGTGTGGGTAGGAGCTTGGGGTTGGCCTCCTGGAGCTGTCGGGGCCCGGCCAGAGGCTGCTGGTCCCGAAACCGACTCCCCTGAGCCCTGACATTCTTTGTGGTGGGTCAGGATGTCTGGGGTCTGCGTCCCACTCGGAGCAGGGCCTCGGGGTCTGGGCCCACTTAGGGGTGAGTTACAGGAACCCACTTGTGCCCAGGGGACGCAGCTCAGCCTCTCCAGAGAAGGCACGAGGACTGAAGCCCAGAGCTGCGGTGTCCCCTGGGTCCCCACCCTGAGGACCACTCCTCTCAGCTCCTCTCCAGCGCCAGCTCCCTCCTCTGCCTCTGCAGACCGGCCACTCCGTGTCTCTGTAGGGGTGACCCCCCATCCCTCGTGGTTCAGGGCTCAACGGATGCCCGCCAACACCTTGCCGAGCCCCAGGGTGACGTTACTAGGCGTGAGAATCAAACCGGCTCGGCTCAGATCCCGTGTCCACCTTGAGCCAGTCGGCAGGGCCAGAGTGAGGTCGTGTGATCCACTCTCGGGGGCGGGACCCGAGCTCTCCGAGAGGGCCCAGGGGTGGGAAGGGAGCCAGGGTCTCCACCCAAGCTGTGCATGTGTGGGGAGGTCTGGGCGGGGCAGGGTGTGGACAGCTGGACAGGACAGAAACCCCATTCTAGTTGGTTACAGACCCCGGGCCATCAGGGGGAAAGGGCCGTAGCCGTCATGCAGCCCAGGGGTCTCCACTCACCAGTGGGGAGCGACATGCCCAAGGTCACCAGCAAGGGCAGGGCCAAGCCAAGACCAGGGCCTGGGCCACTGTGCTTCCCACACCATCAGGCAGTTTCCTGTTCACGATTCACCCGGAGGAACCAAACATTTGCAAACCGTGCGAGTCTCGAGTGGAAACCCAGCAAAGCCCTTTCAGAAAAATGTCACTGAACCGAACGAGCAAACAATGATGTGGTCCTTTCCCTGCCACTTTCCGAGGCCAGCTGCTGGCTACTGACCTGCAGAGGACACCTCTGCCTGGGAAGTTGGGAGAAGCCTTTGCACATCCGGGGCTGCATTCAGGACCCCAGACAGTGATGGGGAGGGCTGGCCCTGCACCTACCCCATGGGCCATCCTGGCTTCTGCTTCCTTCCAGGTACCAGGAGGTCCAGGCAGCCCAGAAGGCGCTGGACACGGCTGTCGCAGAGGGGCTGCCCGAAGCTGAGAGGGTGCTGGCCGCCGTGCAGCAAGTTGTCGCCGCTGGCACCCCGCGCCTGGCCTCGCTGGCTGCCCCTGGAGCACCGGTCAGCTGGGTCATCCTCGGAGCTCTGGGTGGGGTGGGGCTGAGGGATCTAGCAGCTGGCAAGACCAGGGGAGCCAGGCAGAGGCGGGTGACAGGGCTTGTTTTGAACTATACAGCAGTCGATGAAAAGGAGAGAATTTACTATGGGGCTTGGCAGTCAGCTCCGCCCGTCTTTGTTGATGATGACATTGAGGTTGGAGCCTCCTCTCCGCTTCAGTGACGTTAGCAATGACACCGGCTCTGCCACTCCAGCTCTGTGACCTTCGCCAAAGACTGTCCCTCCCTGAGCCTCAGTTACTTGATCTGTCACATGGAGCTCGCCCATTAGGTTGTTTCAGGGCTGCTTCCATGGGGCTGGGAGGGGATTGTGAGTAAAGCCCAAGGTGGCCAGTTGGCCCCTCTGGATCAATGAGGTCTGTCTGTTCAGTAACCCCAAAATCCCAAACCCCAGCAACTGAACTTTAAAGACGGACTAAGCTTGTGCAGATGCACTTGGGACAGAACCTGCGCCATGCTGACTGCCCCAGGCTGGTTAGTCGCGGCGCGGAGGTGTTGGACGACGTGCAGGACCCGCGCAGGTCTGCTTCCCTAAAGTCCGGAAACTCCTGCATCGTGGAGCACACCCGGCCCCCAGGGTTTCAGCTACGGGACTGTGGCCCCGGGGAAGGAGTCTCACTTTGCAGCGAGGGAACGTGAGTCAGGGAGGTTGGGGAGTTGCCCACGGCCATGCAGCTAGAAATTGGCGGGGCTGGAGTTGGAGCCTCAAACGGCAGGTGCCCCAGCCTGGCCTCTCCGCCTCCCAGGGCCCACCGAAGCCCCATCCCTGCTGTCCCTGCCCCTGGGGCTTCCACTGTGCCTGGGGCATCAGCGAGGCCCACCGGGCTTTGAGGCTGGGGTTCCACCTCAGCCCGGCGGGGCATCTCTCCCAAGTAGAGGACCGGCCCCCTGCCCTTCCTGCCGGGCACTGCCTGAGCCCACCGTCTCCCTGCAGCCTGAGGAGGGCGAGGCCGAGGACTTGGGCCAGAAGGCGAGGGTCCTGGAGAGGACGGCTGCATCGAGGGAGCGCGTGGCCACTGAGGCCACCCGAGCCCTCCAGGACACTGCCCGGGCGGTGCTGCAGAAGGCGGAGCCCCTCGTGCAGGTCAGCAGGACACCGGGAGCAGGGGGATGTCCTGCCAGGGGCCTGGGACTGGGGCTGTGGGAGGGGGATGGGCAAAGACAGGAAGTAGCCCTTCCCGTCATTTGGGCACCGGCCCTAACCTCAGAGGACTCAGAGGCAGCCCAGGCTAAGGGAAGGGATCCCGGTTTCCCGAGAAGAGAGTTATAGTGTGAGAAGAGACAGCACAGACGGACGGACAGACGAACGGACGGACGACAGCTCCAGCGGCCCCCAGGGCCACACCCACCACCCTCTCTCAGGATCAGTCAGAACCGGGATGGTTCTTTTCCTTCCTTCCTTCCTTCCTTCACCTGATACTCAGTGAGCACCTGCTCTGAGCAGCCCCTGGGACCACAGCGCTGGGCCGCGCCGCGTGTCCTTTGCAGTCCGGCGGGGGAGGCGGCATCAACGATCAGAGGATTCAACAATTACGGGGCGAATTTAGCCTAGTCCAGTGGTTTCCAACCTATGAACGTACAAAAGACCACTTTAAACATTTTCTTTAACTTTTCATTTGGAAGCAGTTTTAGACTTACAAGAAGGTCGCAAAGAGAGTGCAGAGAATCGGCACACACCCTTCGCACAGATCCCCGAGGTTAACACCTCGCCAAACCCCAGTACGAGTATCACAGTCAGGAAAACAACATGACGTGCTAACAATGAAGTATCGAGGCCTTATTCGAATCCCGCCCACCCTCACAGAAACGGCTTCTCGGGAGCCATCCTCCGCTCCCTTTTGCAGACAGGAGAAGGGCTTTCTGTGAGGAGTGAGAAGGTATCTGAAGGGCTGGGCCCAGCGCCTGGCACATTCCTAGGGAGCATTGCTGTGCGCGAGCCTTGGGGTGGTACCCTTTGACCGGGTCCACTGGCCTGATCCACAGTGAGGATGCCAGGAAGAGAGGGGACCCCCACAGGGCCCCTCTTGAGAGCAGTAGCAGAGTCAGACCCCCATGTCTGCCAACACCACCCCCCAGCACCCCTTCCTCCTCTCTCCCACCTGCCAAGTGCTCAGAGTTGCTTGTTAAGGTGGCGTTGGGTGGCTCTTTGGACGCATGTTATCTATCTATCGATATTTATTTATTTTATTGCAATAAAATTCAGATAACACGAATTAACCATTTTAAAGTGTACAATCCAGTAGCATTTGGTGCACTCACAATGTTATACAACCTCCATCTCTATCTAGTTCCAGAACATTTTTATCACTCAGAAGAGAAGCCCTGTACCCATTAAGCAGTCGCCCCCCGTATCCCCTCTCTGCAGCCCTTGGCAGCCACCGGTCTGCTTTATCTCTGCGGATATTCCTGGTCTAGATCTTTCGCATGAATGGACTCACGCAACACGTGGCCTTTGTGTCAGGCTTGGGCTTCTGTCACTTAGCAGGTTTCTAAGGTTCATCCACACCGTGGCCTGGATCAATACTTCACTCCTTTTTAAGGCTCAGTCGTGTTCCAGTGTACGGATGAACCACATTTTGTTTATCCATCCGTACATCAAACCCAAATCCTTTAAGTATCTAGTCTTGTTTGATGGCAGCGGGGAAGAAACTGGTTTGCTGCGTGTAAAAGTCTCATAATGAACAGGTTCACTGTGTCACGCCCGCTGGCGGAGACGTAGCACTGTCCTGAAAAGAGATGTTCAGTTGCTCATCTTCCCGTCGGTTCTTGCGTTCCAGTTTTCCTCTGCGCTTTTGTGGGACAGGTACCTTCTTGGGAGACAGATTCAGGTCTGACGTTTGTATAACAGATCAGGTGTTCCTAGCAGACAGCGTGGTTCAGTCCGAGTTTGGGTGATGTTTTGGGCCCCTGTATGTGTGGTTTGGTGCCCGCCTGACCCACCTCCAGGCGGTGCACCTGCAGGGCCGGTGGCCTAACCTCTCTTCTCTCTCCAGCTGCACCAGGAGGCCAGAGCCGCCCTGGCCCAGGCTTCCTCGTCTGTCCAGGCTGCCACAGTGACCGTCACGGGAGCCAGAACCCTGCTGGCTGACCTGGAAGGTACATGTGTCTGGCTGAGCTCTAGGCTCTGTGATGCACAGATGCCCCCGACACCCACTCACCTCTCGCCTCGGCCGGGGCAGGCTTGGTCGCAGAGGACAGAAGTCCCGTCTGGTGGGCTTAAGCCAGGCAGATGGCTCCCTCCATCTCTCAGGGCCTCTCCCGTGGCCGCTGTCTCCCCATCTGACTCGCCACTCACCAGGTGCCTGCCCACGTGGCTGTCCTGTCCAACCCCCAGTGTCACCAGTCCACATGCAGAGCCCCTGGGGACCAGATGGGAGGAGAATCTGATGTCATTGGCTGTCTACTTCACTCTTCCTGGGGGTCCAATTACCCAGTATAAATATGGCAGCGCTGGTCCAGTGCTGAGTTGGAGCTACAGGGAGGGGGCTGAATTTCTCCCTAGAAGGCGGTGTGGGTTGGTGCCAGTCCAGATATCTTTCGAGCTTTAGGAAAGTGAGGCAGAGTGCCCCTAGTTTACAGATGGGTAGACTGAGGACAGGAATTGTTGTCCATCCCTGGGTTGGAGCTGAGCGGGGAATAGAAACCAGCAAGTGTGACGATTCTCCACCTCGGTGACCCCCTATGCCACGGGCTTCTGCCTTATCCTCTTTGCTCCGGAGAGAAGCCCCCTCGCCCTGTCTTTGTGGCTCCTTGTCCAACAGACTGGATAAGGCAGGAGCACACCTGAGCCCCGGAGGTCTCCTGGGGTCTGAGCCCAGCAGTCAGGCCTTGGCCGTCATCCTTGTGTCCCCTCCCACCCTGCCCGCAGCCTGCAGGGCGGTAGCTCCAGCCACAGGGTCGGGGACTAATCAACGCCTCCTGTTCTGTAGGTTCTCGGTGACCTGCAGTCCTGGTCGCCCACTGGATATGGGGCTTCCTACGGGACAGACGTGGCTGCATGTGCTTTTGTATCTGAGGTCATATTTAGGAAAACGTACATCCAATGGTATATGATGGTGGAATATTAGGATCTTAGAATGTTGGAATTATAAGGGGTCTCAAAGTCTGTTGCAAATCCCGTGCCACGGAGGGGGCTCATCTACCCTCGGTCTGCCCATCTCCAACAACGGGGTGCTCGCTGCCCTACAAGGTACCACCTTCTCGCCGTTGGATGGCTCTGAGAATGAGCAAGTTGTTGCGTGTGCTGGACTAAAATCTGCCTCCCTGCTACTGCTCCACAGTCACCCGAGGGCCCCCCTTGGACCCCTGATCCCAGGCCCTCCTTCCCATTCCCACCCTGTCTCAGAGACACCCCCTCTTACCACCGGTTGGCCTGTGCTCAGCTGGTGTTCAGAATGAAAGGAACATTCACGGAACGAAATGTGGGGCAGCCTTCCCCAGGGGCCGAGGGTCTCCTAGACTGCAGTATGTTCTGTAACATCAGGAGAGGGTTTGTGTTCAAATAAGTTTGGGGAATATCTCATACTGTAGCACCCTCTTGAGGCCTTATAGAGCTGTGGTCCCCAACCCCTGGGGGTGGGGGTGGACTGCAGAGCTCCACTGGCCTCCCCCTGCCTTCCCTTGGAGGAAAAATTATCTTCCATGGAACTAGGAAGCGGGTGGGCAGGGGGCACAGCAGGAGTTGGGTGGCACGGTGAGTGAAAGCAAAGCTTCGTCTGTATTTACAGCCGCTCCCCATGAAGCTGGTCCCTGGTGCCAAAAAGGTTGGGGACTGCTGTTATAGAGAACCTTTTAGAATATTAAAGGCTCTGAGAAGTCCTGTAATAAAGAAACCTGGTTCACTTTACTTAATTGACATTTCCCCCTTATGTTTGTTTACTTTTTTTTTTTTTTGAGACAGAGTCTCACTGTGTTGCCCAGGCTAGAGTGCCATGGCGTCAGCCTAGCTCACAGCAACCTCAAACTCCTGGGCCCAAGAGATCCTCCTGCCTCAGCCTCCCAAGGAGCTGGGACTATAGGCATGCGCCACCACACCCAGCTTATTTTTTGTTTCTATTTTTAGATGGGCAGCTAGTTTTTTTCTATTTTTTGTAGAGACAGGGTCTCACTCTTGCTCAGGCTGGTCTCAACTCCTGCCCTCAAGCGATCCTCCCGCCCTGGCCTCCCAGAGTGCTAGGATTACAGGGTATGAGCCACCACCCAGCCAAGGCTTGATGCTTTTTAAAAATTCAACTTTTATCTATGTAATCAGTATTCCTTATGATAAATTTCCTTTAGAATTTTATCATAAAGGAAAGGAAAAAGTCTCTTTTTATAAAGAGGGAAACTGTGGCTTCTTAGATAATAAAATCTGTGAGAATTGTAACACTTTCCTTTTTGTCTTGGCTGCTTGGGAGCTCACAAGTAAATGGCACATTTGGTTCCTACAATGTCATTATCCTAATTTTCTGGTACTTCTCACTCCTCCCCCTTCCTCTCTTGTCCCTCTAATTACAGAAGGCTCTTGGTTTTCTACGGTAATGATCCAATCATTGATTTATCTGTCACTGTACACTTCTGCAAAGCTTTGTTAGAAATAGGTGGTGCGTGAAAAGACATGGACTCTGCTATGGCCCCAGCCCTGCCACTGGCCCAGGCCTTGACCACCGTGTGACTTCATGACTTTGGTAGATACTATTAACATGTCATGATTAAGTTCACTGAGCAGCATGTCCCGGCTGAGTCTGAGAGGGTCGTACACAGGCCTCATGCATCTTGAGCTGCACTCACGTTGTCAAGGGTCCGGGCCGGTCAGGCATCTGCCAGTGACCTCCTGGCAGGCCCTGGAGGCGTGAGCCCGGTGCTCCTGACACAGCCTCGTGGGTTTGCAGGAATGAAGTCGCGGTTTCCTCGGCGCGAGGACCAGGCGGTGCTGCAGAGGAAGGCAGGCGGCGTCAGGGCCAGGCTCCTTGCAGACGCAAAGAAGAAGACCAAGCAGGCGGAGAGGATGCTGGGCAACGCGGCATCTCTCTCCTCCAGCGCCAAGAAGAAGGGCAGAGAAGCGGAGCTGTTGGCCAAGGGCAATGCCAAGGTCAGGGCCGTGGCCATGACGACCGTGGCCTCCCACCTTCCGGGCCTGTGGAAGGACTGCTGTACGAGAGCTGCCCCGGTGGCCCTGCCCAGGGTCTGGCTACTCCACACTAACTGCACGGGGGCCAGGCCGTTAGCTCAGAGCGTCAGGTGGTGGCCGCGTTGGCTCCTCATGAAATAGGTGTCCTTGCTGTCCCCATTGCACAGGTGAGGACGCTGAGGCCCAGCGAGGTTCGTGGAGGACTCACGCCTGGTCTGTTGGGCTTCACTGCCCAAACCCTAGGCGTTTCCTCATCTGGGGCCACGTTCCACCCGATGTGTGCCTCCCAGCTCTGTTGCTCGCTTTGTTGCTCAAACCCCAAGTGAGCTCTGTTGGGGTTGCCTACGGATTTGCAGTGGGCCCCAGGCTTGATTTCTTGTCATGCCACCTGGACTTTGCCCAGCTCCTGCTCTCTGTGCCTGTGTCCCCATCTGTGGAATAGCTGGAATTTCTCCTCCGGGGGGGACCGAGTAGTACCCAGCAGTCTGCACTGCCCCTCGCACCTGCCCGCACTCAGTGCGTGTTCGTGGAATGAACGATCTGGTGCGTGACGCGGATGACCGCCTGGCAGTATCGCCACAGAGCTCTTCACCGCCGCGCTCACCTCTCTCCCGCCCGCCCCCCACAGCTTGCCAAGGCCTTGCTGAGGGACGGGAAGCAGGGGCACCGCCGTGCCAGCCGGCTCGCCAGCCAGACGCAAGCCACGCTGCGACAGGCCTCGCGGCAGGCGCTGGCCTCTGCAGTGCGCAGGCAGGAGCAGGAGGAGGCTGAGCAGGTACGTGCGCCAGGCCCCACCATTTCCTCCCGCCCTCACAGCGGGGCGGGGGCGCTCAAGCTGTTCCTCCTCCCCTGGAAGGTGGGTGCCGGGCTGAGCCAGCTGGAGCGGCAGATCCAGGAATCGCGCGTCTCCCTGGAGAAGGACATAGAGGCCTTGTCAGAGCTACTTGCCAGGCTGGGTAAGGAGACCCCGAGGCTGGGCCCTGAACCCCTGGGCCCCTGGGGCACCTCCAGGACCTTCCCTCAAGGTCCAGTCCTGGGGCAGACTTCCTCCTCGTGCTCACCTTCACGGCTTCCCCCATCCCCATCCTTGGGTCCTTCACGCGTTCGTAACCGCCCCAGGCCCTGGGCCACGGGGAGTGGATGCACGGTGCATGACTCTCTGTGCCTCCAGTGGCCTCCAGTCTGGGGAGGGAGGGAGACACAGAAAACTCACCACAGGCAGGGACACCTGGCTACCAGGTGGCTGGCTGAGCCCTCAGTGACCGAAGGTTCAAGAGAAGAGAGAATATCACAGAAGCAAGTGTGGCATCGAGCATCGGGTGCTGGTTTGGAATCAGACAGGCCAGGATTCGAGTTGGGCTCTGTGTCTCCCTTGGCTGTGAGACCTTGGGCCAGTCACTTCACCTCTCTGAGCCTCAGTTCCCCCATCTGCAAAATGGGAGTAACCATGGGGCCATTTAGAAAGTGCTTACCACAGTGTGTGCTGTGTGGTGAGGGGCAGTAAATAGTGACTCTTAGGAGGGAGGCAGATTCGAGATGGGCCTTAGCAAGGAGGCATTTAGATGAAGGGGAAGGCACACACCAAGGCCACCAAGGCTGTGGGGGGACACGACAGTCAGAGCAGTTGGGCTGAAATGAACAGCATGTGGAGTGCGGTGGCATCATCATAGCTCGCTGCTGCCTCAAACTCCTGGGCTGAATCGATCCTCCCGCCTCAGCCTCCCGAGTAGCTGGGACTACAGGCATGTGCCGTCACACCTGGCTAGTTTTTCTATTTTTAGTAGAGATGGGGTCTCACTCTTGCTGAGGCTGGTCTCGAACTCCTGAGCTCAAGCAATCCTCCAGCCTCAGCTTCCCAGAGTGCTGGGATCACAGGCACACGCCACCACGCCTGGCTAATTTTTCTATTTTTTTGTAGAGATGGGGGTCTCTCTAAGAGGCTAGTCTTGATCGCCTGGCCCCAAGCGATCCTCCTGCTTCAGCCTCCCAAAGTACTGGGATTATAGGCGTGCACCACCATGCCTGGCTAAACAGCATGCATTTTTAAAAATTTTGGTAAAATACACATAATAAAATTTTTCATCTTAACCATTTTTAAGTGCACAGTTCCGTAACATTAAGTATATCGTGCAACTGTCCCCACCACCCATTTCCAGAACTTTTTCATCTTCCCAAACGGAAACTCTGTCCCTATTAAATAACTAACCCCCCACTCCCCTCCCTGAGCCCCCGCCAGCCACCACTCTCCTTTCTGTCTATGAATCTGACTCTAGGACCCTCTACAAGTGGAATCACGTGGTATTTGCTCTGTTTTGGCTGGTTTATTGCACTTGGCGTGATGTCTTGAAGGTCCGTCCACGTGCGTTTTCAGTTACCGTTATTAGTAAGAAGAGGAGGAATCACCACGTTCGACATTTTTCCTGGACCCCAAGCCTGTGCTGAGCCGTTCACACATGTGATCTTGCAGAGTTCTTACACTGACCTTTGGACGCAAGGACAGTTACCCTCTTGCCATTTTGCAGATGAGGAAACTGAGGCAGAGAGTATAGACGATGTGCTCAGAGCTGCGTAGCCAGTCTGTGGGAAAGCCATATGTGGGTCTGACTGACTCGGTGCGTGCTTGTAGCCACTCGTCTATACTGGACGCCCAGCACAGAGCAAGCGCTCTATGAGTGTAGACCACTGTGGCCATCGTCACTGTCAGTCATCCACTTGACAAACTCTGCGCCTCACCGTGCTGACCTGGACCCTGCCCCTGGGAGCCCCAGACGGTCGGGGCAGGTAGAGTGGTGGCTGTCACCCAATTCCGAATCTCCTCAAAGGCCGGCTGTTTGGACTTTGCTGTGGGCCAGGGGCCTCTCGAGGCCTTTGCTGGGAGCGGGACTTGCCCAGGCCAGCGGGGCCCCACTCCCCGGCTCCGCGCCTGCAGCTGCTTGCCTCTGGCGCAGGCTTCCCTGCCTGGAAATTCAGGGCCTCGGGGAGCCCTGGGGCCTAGTGGGGTCCTGTGGGATTAGAAGTCACTGGGACTTCCTTCCCCATCCCTGTCACTGTCCCACCTGGCTGGGCTCTGTCTTTCTATTGAATGTCACACTTAGAGACAAGGTGACAAGGGCCAGGTTGGGGAGGCAGCCTCTGGATCCCATTCCACCGTCACTACCAAGTTCTGATGTGAGCACCGGGCCCCACCCCCTTGTCTGGGGCTTGGGGAGGTGCAGAGAAGTCCTTAACCCCGAGGACAAGTGCTAATGCATGCAGCGGCCGGGGCCGGGACCCTGCTCCAGCTGTCCCCAGCCTTGCTCTGAAGCCAGAGACCCTGCTGTTTACCCCAGTGACAGCCACACCCTGGCACACGGATGGCATCAGTAAATGTGTGCTCTTGGTGAATTGATGGCAGCATGATCGAGCCAGCAGAAACCATGGGGACCTCTCCCACATACACTGCTTTGTAGATGAGGAAACTGAGGTTCAGAGAGGACCCACCTGAGGCCTTCATTTTACAGCAATAATAGTAACACCATCAACAAAAATTAACAGTTGTCTGGTGCCATCTAGGGGAGAGTTCCAGAGTCTGCACATGAGCATTTTGGGGTGCCTGGGTCCTTGCCCACCTCACCACACAGCTGTCTTGGTCCCTGTCTTTCCCTGGTGGGTGGTGGACAGCCAGAATCCTGGCAGGTCTGAGCTGGGGACAGTCTCAGGGGAGGGGGCTGAACAGGTTCCTGGGGCCTGCAGGGCAGCCGGCTCATGCTGAGGCTGTCTGTGTTCCTCTACAGGGTCACTAGACGCCCATGGAGCCCCAGCCCGCACCCTGAACGAGACTCAGCAGGCCCTGGAACACCTGAGGCTGCAGCTGGACTCGCCGGGGGCCCTGCAGGGGAAACTGAGGCTGCTGGAGCAGGAGTCTGAGCAGCAGGAGCTGCAGATCCAGGGCTTCGAGAGTGACCTTGCCCAGATCCGCGCCGACAAGCAGAACTTGGAGGCCATTCTGCACAGCCTGCCTGAGCACTGTGCCAGCTGGCAGTGAGGGCTGCCCAGACCCCTGGCACACACTGCCCCACCTGCTATTTTCATGGCCCAGGGCATGCACACACACAGCCCCACACAGAGGCGCCACTTCGGCACACCCCGAGAGCCGGCTGCTGTGGACTGTCCCCTGTGTGAATAGTCGGGCTCCCTGCCCGCAGGAGTGAGTGTGCATACCCGGTGCACTTGGCAGCAGTGCACGCCCCCACCCCTGCACAGGCATAAACATACATACCGCGTCAGTAACACACGTGCACATGCACACACGTGGGTGCACGTCTGTGTGATGCACGCATATGTTCAAGTCCATCCAGGCGTGCACACATGTTAGAGTGAGTCCATAAGTGTTGAGAGCCAACTGTGTGCCAGGCACCCTGCGGGTGCTGGGTGAGTTGTTATGTGAGATACCCAGCAGGGCTAGCACACCCACTCTTGCCCCAGACAGCAGAGGGATCTCAGCAGATCTGCGGAAATCGAGGGTGGGTTCACCAGGAGCCAGAGCGCCTAGTCCCGGAGCTGCCCTCTGTCCTACCACGCCACTGTCCGCCTGTCACCCGGCATGCACACCCGGCAGCTCTACGCAGCTAAGGGATTGGCAGGCCAAGAAACTCAAGATCCTGGGAGGGTTCTCAGCAGTGGAATCTGGGCCCAGGGACCCCTGAGGCTGTGATGGGGCTTGGAGCAAGGCCCACCTGGCAAGGTGCCACCGGCTTTACCAGCTATTTCCCTCTCCGGACCCTGGGACTACACCACACGCACTGGAGGAATCACCTGCCCTGGGCCCCAACCCTCTTCAGCCTGATCTGTCCAAAGAGCCAGGCCCTCAAGGGGGAGGGGCTCAGATAGGCCACTGAGAGCACCCCTGTATGCCCCCAGCAACCCCGTGGCCTTTGACTGACACTTCCCTAACCAGCCCTGTGGCCCCACCTGCCATGAGGGGAGCCACAGGGGTGTGGAAGCATGGCTGCCATTCCAGTCTGTCCTGCTGGGGAACCCCCCTGTGGCCAGGCCCTCGAGTGGCCTCTGCCCAGGACTCCCTGGCATTTCCTCCTAGTACTCCTCCCCTTTCCTGGGCCGCCTCCAGCACACGGCAGGGCCTTGGCAGTGGGAAGACAGCCCCCCAACAGGAAGCGGGGGCAGTGCAGACCAGTTCTGTTTAATGTGGGAATAAAGGACCCTTTTACTGAGCTGGGTGGTGTGCCTTTGATCCTCCCTGCGGGTGGGCAGCCAGGCACACCTCCCCTCTCCACACGCAGCAGTAGGAAGGTGGCAGAAGCAGAGCTCACGGCTTTGCCAGTGTCTTCCCACTGCGGGGCTTTGCTGGGGTCCTGTGAGCACAGGTACCCACCCTCTGCTCTGGGCTCTGGGGCACTTAGGCAAAGTCTGAGGGGTGGGGTGCAGAGAGGCCCTTAGCTGACCTCTGGTCCAAGCTGGAGACGGGAACTCAGAGCACAGCAAGGAGCAGGGAGGGACACCCTTGAGGAAGAAGAGGAGGGCTTTGAGCTTGGCCTTGAAGGGTGGGGAGACAGGAGGAAAGATTCCAGGCAAGAGGGTGGGCAACAGCCAGGGCTCACAGGGTGGGGCCTGGCCGGCATGGGTCATTCTGGGAACCAAGTTAATTGGGTGGGATTATGGCCCCAAGGCCCACACCCCTCCGGAGTGGGTTTAAGCAGAAAAAGGGAATCTGTTGGGAGGGTCATTTGGAATCTGGGGTGGGAAAGGCTGCCAGGCCTTGGAGGCAGCCTGGGGGGGTGCCTGAGGGTGCTGGCGAGGGGCAGGGGCAGCTTCCCTCTTCCTCCTGCCTTTCCTCTTGGTCTCTGCCTCTGCTTCTCTCTGCTTGTCTGCTTCCGTCTTTCCTCTTTACAGAGTGGCTTTCTTTGCTTTTCTTGCACTTGATGGAAGGGGACACCCCACCACTACTGTAGCCTTGCGCGTACATGTCACCAGGTCCAACGCTGGCAGGAGACAAGCTGGCAACTCTGTCCTGATTGCAGCTGCCCAGCTCAGGTCGGGTCCTCCAGTCCCTGCTCAGGGTAAGGAGGATCTCTGGATCCAAGGCCGCATAATGAGATGACCATGACCCCCTCACCCTAATGGGGGATGGTGTTCAGAGTACAGGTGTGCTCCTCCACAGAGAACCTTACAATCAAGGTGGGGAGGGTTTACGTGGGGACATTGTTAAGCTAAGCTAGTGACCTGGTAGATTTCTGGGGAGATGCTGAAAATGGGGAAGCTGTTACTCCGCAGCATTTGGTGACTGATGTCTCGTGTAAGTGGTACCGAGAAGATCAGGGTTCTCTGAGGACCTCTGGGACAGTCTGATGTCTCCCGGCCCCTCCCCCCAGTTTCTCTGCTGACAGGGCACACGGTGGTTCTGATTCCTGCTCTTGGCATCCAGCCCCTAACCCTGCAAGCCGCAGGGCTCAGCAAAGCCCAGTTCCAGCCTCCCCGAAGGGTGGAGAACAGGCTTCCCCTCCATTCCTCAGGCCTGACATCTTGTGACTCATGTGGGCTGAGCATGCCTGGTGCGTGTGCAGAGCGACTCTCCAGCCCCAGAGGTGGGGCCACTGCTGGCTGGAATGTGGCAGCTGTTGAACATCTGACCAGCGATGCAGCCCAGCAGATGGGTAGTAGAAGGTGGGGTGGCCCTGCCCTGCAAGGTGGCTGACTGGGGCCAACCAGCCCAACTGCTAGGGCAGTCTGAGCCCAGACGGAGAACCACATTACAAGAGGCCTGTTCTAAGTCAGCACCACTCTTTGGCTTCCAGATGGAACATCTCCTGGTAACCAATGATTTTAAGCCCTAAGCCTTCTCCCCTCCAAACTTTTTCTATCTGCATAAACCACCCAGAAAGCAATCAGAGTTACAAAAGCCCCTGCTTAGTGAGAAATTCTTATTTCCTCCACTGTGCAGATCAGGGGACTGAGGCTTGGCCGAGGTCACAGGGCTTGGTCTGACCCAAACTCTAGGAGCGACTGGGCAGAGGAGAGTCACCTAGGAAAAGCAGGCACTGGCTGTGCTGGCTGATGTCAGCCTCAGCCGATTTCTGCCCAGCGCCTGGCTGGGGGCGGCCTTGCCACTTCCCTCTCCAGGTGCAGCCACAGAAAAAAAGATGAGCAGCTGGTCTCGGGATCCCAATCCTAGGGGTCAAGATGGGGACAGCTGTGGGGAAGGAGACTTCTGGATCTGACCCCCAGAGACACGCTCAGTGTGTGCAGCGGGGCTGTAACCAGTGACCAGGTGTGCCCTTTGCTCAGGACAATCCCTGTCTCAGCCTGTGGCCCCAGCCTGGTTGGAGTGCCCCCTTTATCCTCAGACTGGCCTGATTTGGACACTAGATTTCACGGTCACCCCAGTTAAAGTCCCAGTTCCTGCACCCTGAGCGCCACTCTTCCTGGAACTACTGGCCGGCCCGTCATCCTGGCGAACTTGCGCCCCAGGCTTCAGTTCCTGGCTTTTCTCGTCCGCAGATGGGAACGCGAGTCCTGTTTCACAGAGTTTTGAGAATGAAATGACTGGCGCTCAGCGCGAAGTATATGGTGCATAGTGAGTGCCCAATAATGGGTTTTATTAACAAGACACGAATTCATTCCAATTGGGTTGAGGTGCCACGGGTGTCACAGCGCCAAGCTGCGCAAAGGGCAACAGTAATGCGACAGCCTCGGTGGGCCGAGCGCGGACAGCACTGGATCCTCCCAACTGCCGCATGAAGTTCGAGCTAAGCTCGTCGCGTATTGTTTCTGGGGCAGGGACTTGCCCGTCCGGGGAGCAGCGCAGAGGGAGGCTGCGGCCGGCCCGCGCGGAGCATTTTCCGCGTCCTCGGGCGGAGGGGCGGGCGGGCGCGCGTCCCGCGTCCCGCATAATAGCCGCTTTGAGGCCGGGCCCGGCGGCGGGAGGCAGGGAGGGGAGGGGAGGGAAGGGGAGGGGAGGGGGCGGGCAGCGAGGGAGGGGTGTGTCCGGCCGCGCGCGCCCTCCCCCCGCCCCTCCGTCCCGCCGCCACACGCAGCCGAGCTCGGACCAGGCGCCAGTCCCTGCCCGCTGTCCCTCGCCGCGGCCGCGAGTCCCGAGCCGGCGGGAGCCGGTGGTCACCATGTCAGTCGCTCTCAGCAACAGGTTCCAAGGTAGGCGCCACTGTCCCCACGCCGCCCCGCGCCCAGCGTCCCCGGGCGCCACCTGTGCGCGCCGGGCGGACGGCGGGGGCCGGGGCGCGCGGGAACCGGGCGGGGGCGGGGTGCGCGGCCCGGGGAGGCCCCCGCTGCCCCGGCCGCCTCTTTGTCTCCTCCAGGAGGGAAGGCGTTCGGCTTGCTCAAAGCCCGGCAGGAGAGGAGGCTGGCCGAGATCAACCGGGTAAGCCCCGCGCCAGCGCCGCTTGCGAGTCGCCCGGGCCGCCGCGCGCCGAGCGGGTGCCACCTCCGTCCGCGAGGCCGTGCCCGCCGCCACATCCACCCCCTTCCTCCCCTTCCCCGGGTTCCCCCACTGCCTCCCTCCGCCCCCAGCCCTGTCGCCTCCACGCCAGGTAGGTCCGCCTCCACCTCCCCGCTCCGGGCCTGGCTTCTCGGGTTGCAAGCTGCTACTCTCAGGCTGGGGAGGTGGGGCCCGGTGGGGAGCTGGATGCCCCCGGCTGGGCGCTCCCTTGAAAGCCCGCTGGGGACCGCCGCAAGGATTTGGCGGGAAGGGACCCCAGGCCGGGGCTCTCTCCACCGCTGAACACAGGCTCTGGCAGATGCTGGCGGTTCCCTGTGGTCTGCTGCCTCCCTGCGCCTCCAAACACTCAACTCTTTTGCACTCCAACTTTTAGGAAAGGTTGCCTTAGGGACCTGATGCTTTGCTTGCTGCTCTTGGTGGATTCCTGGGAAGAAATACTTCCTGCTGTTGCCAGGCATCCAATGGGAGCTCCGCAAGTTTTCTTAGTGACCATGTAGATTCTAGAAGATAAGAAGAGATGTCAGGACCTGTCTGGGTTAGCCAAAGCTCAAAGGCAGCACAGCCAGTGGCTTTAGGTTTCCCCAAGACCTGGGCTTAGATCTGGCTTCCATCAGGTGCCAGCTCTATGGCCTTCAGCCGAGGCCTCTCCTCTCTGAGCAGGGTCACCCCAAGGGCTCGGTGAGGGAAGGCATGTAGCATCCAGCACCTGGCAGCCGAGAAGCACTCACATGGTACTAGAATGATTTCCTGAGGCTGACATCCCCCAGGTTCCTTCCTAACTGGTGGCAGAGGCATAGCCACTGAAACAAGCCTGGGCATTGCCCCTGCTGGCTCCCCCAGGGCACTGGTCACCCAGGGTCTGAACCCAGCTCGGAGTCCCAAAGAAGCATGCTGGTGGTGTCGCAGAGCCCCGGAGGAGGCTGTGGGAGGTGGGTCCAGGGGCTGGGGCATGGCTGTATGTAGTGTTCCTTCTTGCCAGCAGCTTGCAGTCTTGAGTCCCTCCTCAGTGTTGTTGGACTGCTTAGAAGTGGGCCGCTTGTCTGTTTTCAGTCCACTGGATACAGGTGTCCCATGGAGGACTCGGGGACTGCAGGGTCCCTCCAGGTAAACTCCAGCCACCTCACTGCCACCCTCACCCAGCCTCCTGGTGCCGTCTGGAGCACAGCAGCTGAAAGGTTGCCTGGACATCTGGCTGGGGCTCCCAGGGGCTCCCTCCCAGGTCACTCTGCACCAGCCCAGCCTCAGACTTGGCTGCCCTTGCTCTCTGGACAGGAGCCTGGGACCCTGACCTCATATAGCCCCCTGGGCCACTGGGCCGGGCAGGTTCTGAGCTGGCAGAACCCTGAGCCAGAGACAGCTGGAAATGGGGGGTGAAGTGACCATTGTTGGACAAGCCAGAAGAGTGGACAGTGTGTGGGACTTTCCATGCCAACCCTACCCTTGGGGAGGCAGCTACAGGGTTTTTGGAGGTGGACTGGCTTGGCTCAGAAAGGGGAGAAATGTGGCTATCTGGAATGATCCAGACAGCACTGGGACTGGGCAGATTGAGCAAGAAGGAGCTGTGGTCTTACCACCTCGGGATCCCAACGCCCAGAGGGGGCAAGCAGCTGACCCCAGGCCACACAGGAGCCCATGGCAGAGCTTACAGTCCAGGGTCCTTCCCCTGCTGGATGCTGTTCTCAGACCCACCACGTGAGTCCAGGCTGCTGTAGGGCTTCTGGGACCCAGGGTCTGGGTTCCTGTAGGAAGGAGGCTCCAGGATGGAACCGCAGCCGGGCGGGTGGCCCACCATGAGGCGGGCCGCAGAGTGCTGGCCTGTGACCCTGGGCAAGCCACTGTGTCTCTCTGAGCCTTCCTCCTCAGAAGGAGATGGTGGTGGTTGTGATTTTTCAGTGAGATAGTCTACATAAAGTACCTGGGAGCACTGGCTGCTGTCCCGATTGTTATCATTTGCTTGGGGCCTCAAGGTGCGGGCAGTGGGAGACGTGCCGTGGCCCATACTGGCTGCTCAGCCTGGAATGGGAGCAGCGATCCCTGCTCCTCTCCAGTCCCTGCGACATGGAGAGAAGCGGATGGAAGCTGTTTGCAGCCTGTGGGGGAACTGCTCTGTGGGGGTCGAGTCCAGTTCGCCCATGGCCATGGCTGCGGTGGAGGGTCTCTGCGGGGTGCATTCTAGGGAGAACTGTGTGGGCAGCCCGACTGCCTTCCTTTGGGGTACAGCTTCACTGCCTCACTGCAGTGCGGATTCTGGGGGGCTGGGCTGAACGGCGGCCCAGTGGCCCCGTGGAAGCAGGAAGCCCTGCAGGACCGGGCTTCACGACTCACTGCCGGGGGGGTCACCAACTGCTGTGCCAGGCAGCTTGGGCACTGTCGTGGCTGCTGCCTGGGGCAGAGCCCAGCCTGGCCGGCGGCTCTGGGGACCTCTCTGGGCCAACACCCAAGTTCCCTTTGGGGCCTTTCTCCTCCCCTGATGCAAGCCAGCTTCCAGAGGGCAGCGGGTAGCTCCGTCTTAGCTATTGTTATTATGAGGGATTCAAGAGTAAAAATAGAAGACTCAGTGGGCCTAGAAGTCCTGGTAGAGGAAAGGAGGCGGGGAGCTGTATGAAAATGCACCTTTTTTGGTCTCGCTTCAGTTTTTGTTACCGATTTCCAGCGCTTGATATGCCTCGCCGAACGCTCGCTCTAACCTTGAAGTGAGAACAGGCACCGCTTGCTGTTCCCATTTTACAGAAATCCGCACCCAGGCGCTGAGTGAGTTGCCTGGGTGCAGCAGCTGCAGTTTGAACCTCACCTATATTCCCATCTCTGAGCTCGGCGGGGCCTGCTCTGCGGGTGCCTGCCAGTGTGGACATACCCGCACTACTGGAGCGGGCAGAACTGCGAGTGCCTCCTACTCCCCCCACATAGCTGGCATTCCCTGAGCCCCGATGACACGGGAAGTGACCCCAGGCCAGCTAGGCCCGGCCTTTTAAGGCAACGGGAGAAATTTTCTCCAGCTTCCCCCAGGGACAGAGAGGCCGTGGGGCTGGGATTGGCTCCTCAGTGCACTTGCGCCCCAGGGCGAGCCGGAGGAGCCCGGAGGACCCCGAGGGCTGCTGAGCCAGCTGGGTGGGGGGGGGCCTTTAACCCAGTATCGTGAGTCGTGGCTGTGCTCCTGCCTGCGCTGTTGTCTCACTGACCCTCTCCGCAGAGCGCTCCAGTCTGCCAACAGCCCAGTGGACAGGGATTATTATGACTCCCATTTTAGAGATGAGGAAACAGGAGGCTTGGCTGGATGAAGTCACCTGCCCATGGTCACCCGGCCAGGAAGTGGCAGAGCCGGGATTCAAACCAGGTCTGTCTGACTCCACACGCTGCCCACGGCCCAGCTGGCCCCTGTCCACCAGGCGGCTGCAGCCTCGCTGTGACACAGGCCTCTCCTGCTTATGTGGATAAGGATCTCTGGCTACCGTCCTGACGTCCCAGCCCTCCTGGGTCGAATGAAGGGCACTCACATTCCCCGGCACACTTAGGTGCCTACTCGTTATTTCAGAACCCAAGTGCCAGCTGTACCGGAAGACAGCTGGGCAGGGCAGGCTGGGTGTCTCTGCCCAGGGGTGTACAGATTCCTGCCCTCCCCCACCAGAGGGGACCTCTGAGACCTGACCCAGGCAGCCACACAGATGTGTCTCTTTTCCTGTGTACCTGGCAGTACCACCTGTCCCTGCCCAGGTGAATGTGCCCAGCTGGCATTGCCAGGCACCCGTCTCTCTTGCTCTTCCTAAATATATTATAAGGGAGATGGCGATAAGCGGCCACGTGAACCTCTGAGGATTCAGTGTCCCGCACAGGTCCGGCTGGTTATGACCCCGGTGTGGCCACTGCACAGGAAGCTGGAGATGGAATTTCTGCAGGGGCTGCTTCATTTCTGTAGCTGGTGGGGTGTTTTTCTTCAGCTGCCCCCTCTATTGGCGAGGACTCAGTGTCCGGATTGGGCCCCAGAGCTGCTGTGGGGAATGTGAGCCCACTGTCCCCGTGGGTGCACGTTGCAGGCGCCTGCTACGCGCCTGGTGTCAGGCACTAGGCACCAGGCCCGAGGCCAGCCAGTTGTGGCCTGGTCCTGGCCCTTTAAGAGCCGCGGGCTGCGTCAGAGGCGCCCTCCCCTGCGTGGTGCTGCCTGCCCCTGGAGCTCTCACCCAGGGCTGTAGCCACCAGCCCCTTGGATGGCCTCCAAGATGGTGATATGCGCCCACCCCAAAATTCTGCTGCAGCTGATACATAAGGACCAGCCTGGAGGGCCAGGAGCAAGGGGCCGCGAGCAGGTGTTAGAGGTACCAGCCCAGAAAGAGAGTTAAGTAGGAGGAGCGGGCAGGTGGCAGGGCTCCAGAGGCCGGGACACACAGGGGCTGCCAACCTCTGATGGTTTTGGAAACAGCCCGTCCTGGGCGTGAGCACTTGGACTTGCTCCCTCAGGGACTCAGGTGTGCATCCGAGGTTGTAAGTGACCAGGAGGGCTGCGATGGGAATGCTCCGGCACCGCCAGGTAGGCCAGGAGTCTGAGGACAGAGCGAAGTTTGCCCTTGAGTGGGGGTGGCCCGAGGGCCAAGGCTCACTGGGAGGACCTCACGGCATAAGGAGGGGCACAGAGAGTCAATAGGTGTTTTCTCTGCCCTTCCCCCCGCCACACACTTGTCTCTTGGTGTGGCTTGAGTTTGCGTGACCCCAACACATAATAGTGATTGCTGACACTTAGCAAGCAGACCGGGAGCCGGGCTCTCTATGCAGTTAGCTCATTTAATCCTTGCAGAAACTCAATGAGAAGCTTCTACATATCGTGTGATCCTGATTGATAGATGAGGAAACTGAGGCCCAGGGTGGTGGGGCAAGCTGCCCAGGGCCACAGAGCTAGTAACTGCTGGAGCTGGGATCGGGACCCAGGCAGCCTGATGTTACCTCCCCCACCCCTGTACCCAGCACACCCTGCGCGCAGGGAGTTATGTGGGGCTCACAACCATTGTGACTTGAGTCAAGAGTAGTCCCTTCTGGCGATTTGGTTTCCCCAGCTATTGAACAGGAGGGCGAGCCGGGTCCTCTGAGGAGCCCATCTGGGTTCCATGGCTGGGTGGATGTTTTAAGAGCTCTGCCACCTCCCAGAGCCCCATCCTTGGACACTCTGGCCCTCGGGGACTGGCAGGTGGGCTCGCTGCTTCCTGTTTGTCGCCCCCACCCCCCTCCTGCCTGCTTGCAATTCCGGCTCTTTGCCAGGGACTGATCAGGCTACTGAGGCCTCAGACTCACCCTCTGCATATCCATAGCCACTTCCAGGCACCCCTCACACCTGCTCCCCACCCCAGCAGTTTCTGGAGAGACCGTGGGTTGGGCTGGGAGTGTGGGTTGGATTAGAATAAATCGTCCAACCTCCGTCCCCCTGGAGGGCTGTAGAGTGGTTCCCCGGCCTCCAGAATGACCTGCAGCTGCCCAAGAAAGGGAACTCCTAGTATTGACTTTCTTTGCCCCGAAACCTGTGGCCAGGCCACCTTCTCTTTGTTTGGGACAGGGAGGGAGCAGGGATGGCGAAGGGAGGTAGACTTTGAATTGTTTAAACTTTGTAATCTTGAGCAAGTTGAGCAACCTCTCTGGGCCTCAGCTGTCCATCTGTCAGTGGGGAAACCCAGGAAGGGGGGAGAAATCCTAACAGCCTGCACCGGTTATGGGGGAGCCTCTGCTTCCTAATGAGGGTCTGCGGGGGTTATACGCTGATTCCACGGATACGAATGTTAGAAAAAGTAATAATAAATAGCTAACATTTACTTAGTATTTGCCAAGCGCCAGGCGCTGTATTAAACATTGTGCATAAACATTGTGTATTTCCTTACACGCTGTAGCTCTTAGGACAGGCCTTCGAGGTAAGATCTCTGTAATCCTTCCTACTGATGAGGAAACTGAGGCACAGACATAGGAAGTCATTTTCACACAGCTGCTAAGTAGCCTCAAACTCAGGCATTCTGGCTGCTGCTTGCCCTCTTTTCCTTTGGCTTTTCTTCCAAACACCTGGGCGGCTTCTAGCCGCAGGGGTCCTGGGTGGACAGGATGCCTGCCCACTGGGCATGGCTGTGTCCCAAGGCAGATGCGGGGAGGTTGCCTGGAGGAAAGAAGCTGTGGCTGTGCGTGAGCAGAAATCAAGAATCCAAAGCTGGGAGGTGGGCGCGGGCAGCCCAGCCGTGGAGCCGCGGCCCTGCCGCCCGCCTCCCCCGACCAAGGCATGGTGGGCACAGCTGTCCTCAGCCCAGGTCCAGGGAGGGCTGCCCACCCACGCACGAGCGGGTCAGCTGCTTCTCCTGCCCCTGTGACTCTGTGGCTCAAGCATTTGTCATTTTTGGCTCTAAGGAAAATTGAGTCCAGTCCCTGAGTCCCCTCCAGTCTGTGTCACACATAGGCACACGCTTTTGCAAAGCTGCCTGACCATTGCAGGGGTGAGGGTGGAGGAGGCAACTCTGGGCCGGACGGCATGCTTCTCCGTTCCTTCAGCAAATGTTTACTAAGTGCCAGCTATGTGCTGGGCGCTGCTGGGAGCTGGGCGTCTAAGGGAGCAAGATGCTAAACACGTCTGCTAGGTCCTGAGGACCCGCCTCCTCCCCACTGCCCCCCGACACCACCTCCTCTGTGGCTTCTGCTCCTTGGCTCTGCGTGGGGACGGAGCCCCAGCAGCCTCTGCCGTGGAGTCCACCCAGCGCGGCCAGTGGCCAGTCTGCTGCTTGGGGCAAGTTATCTCTCCTCTCTGGGTCTCCGTCCGGTCGCTCATCCTGCACAGACGGGCCGAGCAGCTACTGTGTGGCGCCTACATTCTAGCAGGGGCCGCAGACAACGGACAGTAACCGCCTCAGCAGTGACAGTGAGTTGTGTCAGGGGTGACTCATCCCCTGGAAGGAGAGGAGAAGCAGAGCAAGATAAAGGTGGGTTGCAAGTGGCGGTGGGCTGCCGCGGGCAGGCAGGGTTGGTTGGCCACATTGAGATGACATTGAGCAAAAGCCGGGCGGAGTGAGGGAGAGAACCACGCAGGTGTGTGGGGGAAGAGCACTCCGGGCGGGGACAGCCGGAGCAGGGTCCAGCCAAGGGGGCCGGGACCGGCCACGCCTGCAGTTCGTGCTGTGCTCTTGGCCTTGCTCTTCATGGTGGCTCTGTGTCCATCTGCATGTGATGTGTCTCCAGACCAGGGACTGTCCTTCCCCTTGAACCCCGTCTGCCAGCCCACGTAGAGCTGGGTCCCTGGGGCTGGTCGCACAGGCTCGGGCTGGGCAGCATTTCTGGGGGGGCCCTCCTGCTCTCCTCGGCGGCTCCCCGCCACGGGACTTGCCTGTGCTCGGTCCTCCCCTCGAAGGTTCTCCATTTGGTGGTAAAGTGGATGGAACGTAGGGGCAATGTGGTGAGTTGGTTAAATGGATTCCATTTAAAAATTCAGAGACTGTGAGCTTCCTACTTTTATGAAATGTCCTTTTCTGAACTCGTGGCAACAGTCATTGGTAATGGTTTAAAAAGTCTTTACTTGGCAAAAACTTGGCAGCATATGGTAGTGCTTCCCCGCCTGCCTTTAAAAATGTTTCTTGCCTGTGCCACCCCAAAGTCTGGGAACCACTGATCTAATGCGTCCCTCCACTGGACAGACACGGGTCGGGAGGTGCCTGCTTTGCTCAGGGTCACAGACAAGAGTTAATGGTCCTGCTCTTGGTCAGAGGATGGGGCGGGAGAGCAGTGCCCAGGAGCTAGAAGAGGGAGCCGAGAGGAAAGGAAGTCCTCCTCCAGCCTGCGGGAGGAGGATCTAGCGCTGTGCCCGGTGCATGAGAATGAGGCCTCAGTGGGCTGTGGCCAAGCCAGTGAGACCCGTGGGCGCTGGGGCTGCCTCTGCCCAGCTGCCGGAGCCTGACAGAAACAGGTTTGAAAACAGCCCCGTGCTCCTTCGGCTGCCTGCGGACGTGTCGTTTAACCTCTCTGGTCCTCGTGCTCTAACTTGTAAAATCAGAACAGTGGCGGCTGTGAGGATTTAGTGAGATAACGCAGTGCCTGCCACAGTCAGTGTTTTACCAAAACCCAGAGGGCAGCCAGACCCCTCTCCCAGCCCAGCGAGGGGAGCTGCGTTGCCCGGTGGGTTTCTCCTGCGGTCAAAGGGTGCTCAGTTAACGTGGAGGAACTGGAGCCATAGAAGGGGTCATTCTGCCTCGTACTCATAATCGTACCTGTTGCTTACTGAGCGCCAACACACTAGCCCAGCGCCGAGGGTTCCCGGTGGATTGTATCTGTTGGGGCGTAGGTGTGTCTTACTGTGCCTATTTCACAGCTCCTAAAGAGAGGACTGAGATATCCAAACCCAGATTGCTATAGTCATCTAGGTCCGTGTCATCCCCTATTCTACTTTAAGCCCCTTGGGCATTGACAGCAGCCTGGAAGGGTAGTGAGTTCTCTGTCCTAGGAGATATGTAAGTACAGTACAGACTTGGTCATCATTTAGTGGGAAATGATGGCAGGAATTTAGCAACAGATCAAATGACTGACATGGATTACACTGAACACCATTTTAAACCCTGGACTGTCTGTAATTTTGGGATAGGAACCTTATTCACGTGGTCTCTCCTGCTCCCTTGGTGCCTAGCACACTGCAGTGTACATCGTGTCCCTCGAAAAATGTTCAGCGAGTGCACGAATGGGGGAGCAATGCCCTGTCCAGGCAGCTCGGTAATGAGGAAGGCGAGCTCTAGAGAAGAGAGGGGATTTGCAGCGTCTGAGTGGCAGGATGGGAACATGCCCTGTGTCCCCATCTGAATGCAGGTTTTAGGGCTGCTGGAAGATTAGCCACAAGGCATATAAGATACCTGGCACTGTGCCCAGCATAGCAGGCATTCACTCATTTGTAGCTTTCTGTTTTCAGGCCGGAGACCAGGCCAGGTGAACACCTGCAATATGCCCATATGTGAGTGTCAGGACCAAGGGTGTGGGCTGTAAATGAGATGGAGCTGAGTGGAAGCTCTGCCTTGTGAGCCTCAGTTTCCTCATCTGTAAAATGGGCATAATAATAGTAGCTACCTCTTGTGGCTACTGGGAGACCCAAAGAGATCATGTAGGTAAGTGCTTCACCCTGGATCTAATCCTTCCCACCCCCCGGGGGTTCTGAAAAGATTCATTTGAGTCTCTCCAAGCATCTTAGGGGAAGACGGGCCAGGGATTGACACCCCCATTTTATAGGTAAGGAAACAGGTGAAGAGGGTGTCCTCCCAAGCAGTGTATAGTCATGTTCTAGCTAGAGCAGAGACCAGTAACATGACCCCTGCTGTTTATTGAGACCTTCTCTATGCTGAGAGTGGTTTACACACTCTCATCGGATTCTCATACAAAGTCAAGAAACAGCTGTGATAATCACCCTGCTTGCTAGACGAGGCAGTACACGTGCAGAGAGGAATTAATTAGCTCAGGATCACAGACCTAAGAAGTTAACGACAGAACCGGGTAGCTTGTCTTTGGCGCTTACAGCTTCACGGATCTCTGCCAGGTGCCCTGGGTGGGGCGCAGGTCCCAGCACTGGTAACTCAGCTGCTGGCCGAAGGGTTTAGTCTGCTGGTACCGACCCTCCAGGGCCCTCCCCAACCCGCTCAGCTTCCTAGCCCAGGGCAGACCGCACAGATCTGCCTCTCAGGGCGACGGGAAGCTGGAACAGACACAGGACAAACCCTGTCTGGTCAGGCCTGGCCACCCCGGCAGGAGAGGAGGCACCCAAACAATGGGCCCACGTGTGGGTGACCTCTGCCCCCTGACCCCTTGCTCAGCACTGTCCTCTTGCCTCTGTAGGAGTTTCTCTGTGACCAGAAGTACAGTGATGAAGAGAACCTGCCAGAAAAGCTTGCAGCCTTCAAAGGTAAGCTGGGCTGGCTGCGCGGGCATCCGGGGGAGCTGGGCTGGCCCCTGCCCCGTCGCACACGGAGCTCCTTAGCACCAAGGGGCTAGGCTGTGGCCTGTTTCATACCAAACTCCCCTCTTCTTGGCAGGCTTGGAGATGGGCCCCTGAGAGGTGGGGGCAGGCCCCTCCACCTGCCACCGCAGACCCCCTGACCCCTGGCCTGCAGGCCTGGCCTGGCCCGGCCCTGCCCCTCTCTCTCTCCGGCTGCTGGCGGGGCTCAGGTTGGCTCCTGTCAGCCGCCAGGGCCCGCTCGCTCCAGGCCCCTGCACACAATCAGCTCTTTGTGAACAGCTCTTGCCTCTCCCCCTCTGCAGCGAGCGTCTCAGGAGCCCCCGCGGAGAATGGACGTTTGTGTCGCCACAGTGAGGCGAGGGGGCAGAGTTTCTGCCCATTGAGTCCCGGCAGCACAGATGAAAAGAAAACAGGGCCTGGAAGCCTGTGCGCAGAGAGGGGCAGCATAAAGGTCCCTCTGTTCGGGGCCCTGGTGCTTGGGTCCTCGCCAGCACCTCGAAAGGAGAGGAGCCGTGCACATGCGGAGCGCGGCAGATCCACCTTTCCTGCCCGGGATGCTCTCGGGTGCCGGAGCCCTGGGCTCCCTGGGGGACACATGGCAAGTGTCCCGGAGTCGCATCTCCATCCCGAGAGGTTGCAGCGTGGGCATCCTCCTGGCTGCAAGGCCAAGGACCTGCCAAGTGCTCCTAAAATCACTTACAGCTTAGATGTCCTTGGGCAGGACATGGGTGGCCAATAATTTTAATAACAGCTGGCATTTGTTGGGCATCGACCTGAATGAAGCACTTCTCACACGGCACGGGGCGCTCCCCGGGTCACCCAGCCCAGCGGGAGGGCAATGGTGCACCTGGTACTATGCAGACGGAGAAACTGAGGCTCGGGTTGGGGAGGTCATTGGCAGGGGACACACAGCCTGCCTAGAGCAGAGCTGGGACTTATCCCCGTCAGTCTGGCTCCAAAGCCCCTGCTCTGAACCGTTATGCAATGATGCTTTTCACATTAAGGAAATAGAAAAAAGACAGCCCTGTCCCCACCCTGTCCCAGCTGCCCGCAGGAGAGCTCTCTCTTGCCTTCTCTCTGCGTCCAGCGGCCACTGTTCAGGGGTGGCTCTGGGAGGAGGCACAGGGTCTTGGGGGGTCTGACGTCCACTCTGTTACCTGGGTGTAGGACTGGGTCTGTTGGGCCAGACCAGAACCGCAGGAAGTTGTACAGGGAAGGCAGCGACTGAAGGGCCTCCGATTGCTCACTCTTTTGATCGCTCACTCTTTGCTCTCCAAATGAGCGCTTGCTCCCGTCCAGGCCCATTCCTGGCTGAGAGCAGGCGTTCTAGTAGGGGGGAGTGGTATAAACAGAGAGCAGGGAAATACAAAGGTCTAGTAGGGGGGAGTGGTATAAACAGAGAGCAGGAAAATACAAAGGTCAAAGGCCGTGGTAGGTGCTTTGGTGAGAAACAGACCGTGGAGGGAGGATGGGTGGGGGCGGAGAGCCCTGAGCATACCTGGGGGAACGTTCCAGGCAGGGGGCAGCGAGCTGGAGCAGGTGGGAGTGGATGGAAGCAGCAAGGCCACCCAGGGACCTCGGCTTGCTTACACTGGCCACTCTGCTGACGCAGGCTGACCTGCCAAGGCCACACGGTTCACTTGACGTACTGCCTTTGTGAGAAGATACCAAGCATGTTGCTGCGTATCCTCCCTCCCTGCCGGAGGTTTTCCTGGACTGCTTAACTGGGGAATTTTAACTCAGTCTGTACGCGAGGGTCTGTGAATCTCTGGAAACTGTATGTGCCACCCTGTGGCTAGGGCAGGCCCACAGGTTTTGTCCTGCTGTCACAACCACAGGGACTCCTTAAATCAGTGGTTCCCACGCCTGGGTCCCACCAGAATCAGCTGGGACACTCTGAAAACAGACCCTTCCCACACCCACTGAATCCGAATCTCCAGGGCCAGGAATCGGATCTAGCGGTTCTGTGGCTGGCTCAGCTGTGGTTGGCCTGCGCTGGTGGGGACCTGGGAGGAAGCAGCTGCCCTCCTAAGAGGGTCAGAGTGGCCCCCAGCCCTCTTTGCCCTAGGAGAGTGTTCCAGGCAAGATGAGCTCTTTCTCCAGAGACCGTGCCCACGATGCTGGGACCTTGGGTCAGGAACCCCTCGAGGGCGAGGAGGGTGGTGTGGGCTCCTGAGGACCCGGTCTTTTGCCCTCAAGTGAGTCACTGGGTCCCTGCAAGGAGAGATGCTACTTTCAAGCTAATGCCAGTTTTTGCCCTGTGATTTCCAGAGAAGTACATGGAGTTTGACCTGAACAATGAAGGCGAGATTGGTGAGTGAGCCTTGAGTGTGTTGGGGGAGGAGGGTAGAAGATTTGAGGGTCCAGAGAGCCCCTGACCCCACTTAGGTGAGGCGCGTGGGGTGGTCCCGCGGCAGTGATGAACGTGCGCTGCAGCTTCCCTCGCCGGCAGGGCGCCGAGCCCCGAGCCCTTCTGCCTCTGCCCGGGCTCCACTGCTTTCCCCCAACCCGTCCCCCTCTTGGCCTCCCCCCCACAGGTGCTACAGGGACTCAGAATGGAGGGTGTCACGCTCTGCTCAGGGCTGGAGACACTCAGGCTGCTTTAGGGTGGACAGGCAGTTGACCCCTGGCCCAGGGAGCTGGCGTTTCCGTGGTCCCCGAGCCTGGTTCCGTGGTAGGGGTTCTGCAGTTGCTAAGGTGTTTTCATACATGTCGATTCCTTCTCCGGCAGACCTTTAATTGCGTCCTGCTGTCCAGGCGCTGGGGGTGACACCCTGTCGTGTGGCACTTACATTCTGATAGGCCACAGCTGGGTCTTACCAGCAATGACGCAGCCAAGGCCGTTTGATGATCTCCATCGCGCAGCTGAGGAACCGAGACTCGGACAGGCGGAGCGACCGCTTGGGGGGCTGGTTGTGGGGAGCGGGGCCCAGGCCTGGCCTCTGGTTCTGAGCAGGTTCTCCCTCTCCTGTCCCTGCCGTGCCCCTGGAGTTGCCGCTGCCACTGGCATTTCTGCTCCTCTCTCCTCTGGCCTCGCTCTCTTCTCCCTTTTGAATATTTTGATCACTTTTTCTTTAGAAAAAATATTTTTTGACTTATTAAATTAATATATTTTCATCGTAAAAAATATTGGGAGACACAGTAAAGCACAGAGACAAAAATATGTCACTTACCATCCCCCCTCCCAGAAATAACTGCTGTAAACATTTTGGTTTATACCCTTTCACTCCACTCTTTTTTTTTTTCTTTTTCCGAGACACAGTCTCACTCTGTCAGCTGGGCTAGAGTGCAGTGACATCACCATAGCTCACTGCAACCTCCAACTCCTGGGCTCAAGCGATTCTCCTGCCTCAGCCTCCTGAGTAGCTGGGACTACAGGCGTGCACCACCATGCCCGGCTAATTTTTCTATTTTTAGTAGAGACAGGGTCTCACTCTTGCTCAGGCTGGTGGTCTCCAACTCCTGACCTCAAATGATCCTTCCACCTTGGCCTCCCAGAGTGCTAAGATTACAGGCATGACCCACCGCACCCAGCCCCACTCTTTATTCTAATCATAAATATTATTTCATACCATCTTAGAACCTCTTTTCTTAAAAATAGCTTAATGTTTGGTGAATTGTTTTTTTTTTTTTTTTTTAAGAGACAGGGTCTCACCGTGTCTCAGGCTGGAGTGCAGTGGCACAATCATAGCTCACTGTAACCTTGAATTCCTGGGCTCAAGAGATCCTTCTGCCTCAGCCTCCTGAGTAGCTGGGACTATAGGCTTGCACTGCCATGCCCAATTAAAAAAATTTTTTTTTGGAGAGATGGGGTCTTACTATGTTGCTCAGGCTGGTCTCAAAGTCCTGGCTTCACCTGATCCTCCTGCCTTGGCCACCCACTATGCTGGGAGTATAGGCATGAGCTACCATGCCTGGCCTGGTGAATATTTGGATTTATGATTGATTTTTCCTTTGACATATAGTTAATGGCTACATAATATTCCATTGTAGGGATGGACTCTACTACCTTCAGCCAACACCTTAGTATCAACCATTTAGATGCCTTCTAATTTCAATTATTGATAATTCTGTAAAGAACATCTTTGTACATGAATCTTTGTTCACATTGCTGGTTCTTTCTTTTCTTTTTATTTTTTTAAAATGGGGTGTCACTGTGTCACCCAGGCTAGAGTAGAGTGGTGAAATCATAGCTCACTGCAGCCTCAAATTCCAGGGCTCAAGCAATCCTCTCATCCTGGCCTCCCAAAGTGCTGGGATCACAGGCATGAGCCACTGGGCCCAGCCCTCTGGTTATTTGGTTAGAGTAAGTCTCAGGAATGGGACATTGTGGGTCAAAGGCTTTTGCAGCATCTTGCCAAACTGCCCTCAGAAAGGTCTTGCCAGCTAGAGTCTGACAGCTGCGTGTGGCGCCCTCTTGCCCTTTCCTGGGCAAGGCTGCCCAGCTCTCTTTGAAATGCCTGGACATCCTGGCACCTTCGAGCCTGGCCCCCGTCCCGCCTGCCCTGCTGGCCGCATGCTGCCCACGGCCCTGCACCCAGCCCCGCCCCACTCCCGCCATCCTCTGCTTGCCCATTGTTCGCAGAAGCACAATCTGAAGGAAATTGCCTCAGATCTTGGGAGCTGGGAGGGCCACGGCAGGAACTCCTCGCGGGTGTAGTGACTTTTTGGTGCCTCCCTTGTTTTTCTTGAATTTTGTTCTTTTGTTGGTTTTCCTGCTGCACAGGATATTTTTGGCATCCTTTCCCTTCCAGCTGAGGCAGAGCCCCAGGACAGCTGGGCGGGAGTGGTGGGTGAGGAGGAGCTGCCTGCCACCCAGCACCCAGGAGAGTAGCTTTCAATGCCTGGGGTCAGATGGGTTCCCTGACCCCCTCCCCCCCATTGCTGAGCAGTGATTTCCCGAGTGGCAGGAGAGTGGGCACACACACCCTAGCTGCAGGGAACAGCAAGCTAACAACAACGGCATGAGGAACAGCAGCTCCTTTGCTGAGCACCTGCTCTGCAGGGACCATACGCCGTCCCTGTGAAGGATCCCTTCGTCCCATTCCACCGTTGGCGGGAGCAGGGGCTCAGAGAGGCTAAGTAGTTTGGCCCAGGTCCCACAGCCGGGAATAGCAAAGCTCAATTCCAACGCAGGTCTGTCTGACTCGAGAGCCCAGGTCCCTCACCACTAGTCTCCACTGCCTCCGAAGAGAGCAGGTGCGATGGGCTCATCCTCCCTGGAGGACGAACGCCACTGACTGCAGACTCAGGGAGGGGATCTCGCGCCAAGCCTCTGGCGTGGGGTGCCGGAGCGGAGCTTTCCCAGCTTCCCCGCTGGGCCCCCGGCAGCCTGTCTCCGCTTCACAGACCTGCTTTCCCTCCGGCAGACCTGATGTCTTTAAAGAGGATGATGGAGAAGCTTGGCGTCCCCAAGACCCACCTGGAGATGAAGAAGATGATCTCAGAGGTGACAGGTGGGGTCAGCGACACCATTTCCTACCGAGACTTTGTGAATATGATGCTGGGGAAACGGTCGGCCGTCCTCAAGCTGTGAGTACCTCCTGACCTCTCCTGGGGCCTCTGAAGGCAAAGTCGCTCTGTGCAGAGACGCCCCTGGCTCAGGGCGCCTGAGCCATTCCCCAGCCAATAGGTAACGCATCGTGTGACCTGCTGGGCAAGGTACTTGATTTTCCTGAACTTTCTGTCTTTATCTGTCAAATGGTCACGTTACTGTGTACCTTGCAGGGGAAATTAGCCTGTAGCAGAGCGTCTGGCACAATCAGCGCTCAGTAAGTGGCAACTCTGAAGATGATGATGGTGATGGTGACAATGGCGATAAATCCGTCAAAACGTTCCAAGCCTCACTTTCCTCATTTGTAAAGCAGCTCCACTCCCCCCACAGGTTGTAAGCATAAAACAGAGTCAGAATCGGCTCTAAGGGGAGGTACAATTTGAATCTTCTTGCTGTCACTTGCTACTGAAAGGACCTTGGGCAAGTTACCTAAGATCTGTAAGCCTCAGTTTCTCCATCTGTAAAATGTAGAAGGTCATACATGTCTCCTGTGAAATGTCCTGAGGCTAATGAGGCGACACACCTGAAGATTCCAGCCCCGTGTTCGGCCAGCAGCAAATGCCTAATGTACGGGAGCACATCACAGGCGCTTCCGCACTGGAGAGGGTTAGAGAGTCCCTATTCCCCAGAGAGTCTCATTGTCATTTGTCACAGCTGCAAGGATACTCACTTGGCTTTTATGAAATAAGTTTTTAAGTACTAAGGTGAAATATACCTGTCTCATTTTACGAAGGAGTTCGTGGAAGCCCAAGGAGGCTCATGGTTCAATCTGGCCAGAGCTTTAGCATCCCCTTGCAGGAGGAAACGCTGAGGACCAGAGAGGTTGAGTGTCGTGCTTGACTGAGCCAGCTGGGAAGTAGCAGAGCTGGCATGCGTAGCCAGGCTGTTCGCCCCAGAGGTTATACTCTGAACCCCTGCCCTCTACTCCTCAGACTGTACTCTCAGAGCAGGGAGGAGGATTTGGAAGAGCTCAAGGGGCCCTGAGACAGAGCCATGGCCCAGCCTTGCTCATCCTCCTCCAGGCAGCATGGGTAGGGAGGGGCATGGCCTCAGAGCCAGAGGCCTGGAGTCTCAGCCTGCCTCTGCCTTGGACGGCCTGCGTGGTTCTGAGGAGTCACACTGCCACTCTGCACCTCAGTTTTCTCCTCTGTAAAATGGGACCAGTAGCCCTTTCCTCAAGGCTGCTGTCTGGCTTCCGCGAGGGTCCCACTGGAGAACAGATCTAAGGACCCTGCTGACATAAAGCTGGGATGATCTTTCCCTGGATGGGAGGAGTCCTAATCCTGTTTTCTTTTTTCTTTTCTCCATCTCCAAACCAGAGTCATGATGTTTGAAGGAAAAGCCAACGAGAGCGGCCCCAAGCCAGTTGGCCCCCCTCCAGAGAGAGACATTGCTAGCCTGCCCTGAGGACCCCGCCTGGACCCCCATCCCACCTGCCCGCCCTGCTCCTCTCTGCCCTTCCTGACTCATTGTGATTTGTCTTACCTGTTTGGTGTTTGTGTGTTTGTGTTTCCATCAATGTCTTTGTAAAGCACAGATTATCTGCCTTAAAGGGGCGCTAGGTAGGGGAATCCTGAGCCTTGGGTCCCCTCCCTCTCTTCTTCCGTCCTTCTCCCCTCCCTGTGCAGAAAGGCTGACATCAAACCAAAAACTGGAGGGCGCAGGGCCAGGGCAGGGAGGCTGGAAGCCTATGTTCCCCACACTTGTCCATCCTTCCAGAAGGTCTCTGAGCTAAGGTCAGGCTCTGGCCCTGATGAGGACCCCAGCCCACTTTCTGAAGACCCTGGAGTAGGGACAAGGATGCAGGGACTCGTTAGGGTTTGCTCAGATAGCTCTGTGGTCCCAGCACTCTGGGATCATCCAGGATGTGGCCACCCGGTGCCCACTGCCTCAGCCAGTCCCCCCAGGCCACACCTCTTCTCATCCTCAGCGACGTGACTGAAGGTGGGAAGGAAAGCAGCTTGGCTACTTGAGCCCTTCGAGAAGGTACCAGAAGGAACCCTCTGGTCTTGTTCCCTGGCCACACCTTCACGGGCAGCTTGGAGGGAGGGAAGGTGCAGCCCCACAGTCCCTTGCTGAGGCAGCAAAGGGCTTCAGAGGTAGAGATGAGGTCAGGAGCCTGGGGGAAGGCGCAGCTCAGTGCAGCCCTGGCTTTTAGGGGGGGATGCTAGGGTCGCAGGATGGGAGGATGAGGAGTACAGCACTCCTACAAACAGCACCACTACCACTGTTCAGCCAAGAGCTGAGAAACAGGTTGCCCTTCTCATCCCAGTCGGCTTGAAACCTGACTACACTTCCCTCATTTGCCTTCCTACCCTCCTCACACCATTCATTCACTCATTCATTCAACAGATATTTATTGACCATCTTTTATAAGCTTTAAGTCCTCCCACGTTGTCCCGACATGTGCTATGTCTACTGTCTCTCTCCGCAAATCATTCAAAACCTGAACTTGGAAATTGGATTGGGGTCACCTGTGTCCTTTCTTATGGATTCCAGGATTTTAGAGCTGGGATCACCCCTGTAGGTTAGCCAGGCCAGTCCTCTCACTTCACAGGTGTGGAAACTGGTTGCCCACAGGGATTAAGTGCCTTGCCCAAGGAAGAGCCTGGACTGGAGCCCAGATGTTCAGGTACCCTGCCCACACCTCATCTCTGCTCTGGGCTACCTCGTCAGTGATGAAAACGGGCAGCTGGGGAGGGGCCGACTCCTAGGTCAGCACCTGGGTGAGGCTTCCCTCACTCTGAGGGTCCTGGGCCAGGACCTGCCCTCCCCAGTGCCTCTCAGTCAGCATCAGGGTTTGGGTAAGGGCCAGGCCTCCTCCTGCAGTTCTCCCTCCCCTGCAGCTTCTTGGCCGAGCCTCAGAGAGCTGCCTCTCAGAGCCCACACAGAAGGATGTCAGACTCGGCCCCATCTTGGCTGAGCAGGGAACTCACTGGACGCTGCCTGTGTTCTGGAGTCCCTTACTCTACCTGCTCAGGACTTAGACACACTTATTCACTGAACATATTTATTAAGCACCTGCTATAGGCCAAGAGTTAAGAACCCAGAAGTCAAATGGACAGACCCATGGAATTTAGAGTCTAGTAGGAAAGTCAGATCCAGACAATGACAGTGAATGTTAGGAAGGGGCAGGATATAATAGGGGTAACTGCCACTGCCCTGCAGTCTTAGGGAGCACAACTGGGGCCAAGACAGGTTAAGAGTCTTGGAGGAACCTTCACAAAACCTTAAGTTGGAAAGGACTAGGGGCTGTTGGTGGCTGGAGCCAGTGTGGGTTCCCTGCGGCTCCTTAGTGTTCCATGATGAAGAGCCCAAGGCGCTGCCTCTACAGCAGCTTGAGGGAGGGGAGCGGGTAGGGAATGAGGAAATGGCCAGGTTGGGTTAACCTGCTGGTTTCAACCAGTTCAGCAGCAAGATTATTTGGCCATGACTGGCTGATCTTCAGCTTAAGGATCTGCTTCAGATGCACAGGCCTAGTTGAAGTTTAAACCCCAGCAAAACATTCTTCCTGTAAATGTAAAATCCTACTCCCACCCCTTCCTGTCATTTTTTTTTTCTTCTTCCTGAGATCATTAGATTAGCAACTGCCTGTCCCTCACCCCTTCCCACTGCCTCTCCTCTCTGGGATGGGCTGAGACCTTTGAGGAAGATAAAGCCTTCCTTGAAGACTCATTCAGTGTCCCTGTTCTTCACTCACTGAGGAAGGCAGAACCAGGCTGGTGTATGTCAGAGGGTTCCACAGTTTACAAAGCTGCAGGAAGCCTCCTTGAGGGAGGAGAGCAAACTGGTGTGTCCCCAGCTTCTGGGAAGGCAGGAAAGAGGGTTCTCTCATTGATTGGGGTCGGGGGGGTGTCCCGGGAAATCCCATCAGTCCCTTAACTATTTCTTGGAACTCAACTGGGAGGAGAGGGTCTCAAGAGTGGTCTCTGGAAAGGGGGCATCTGCATGTATTTCAGGTTGTGGCTGTTGGCTCTAGGACTCTTATTAATACTTCTCTGGCTAGGGGGTTAGCTTCTTGGGACTTCAACTGTCTTCCTTCTGTAAGATCAAATGTAACTAATGTAACCAAGTATGGCTTAGTCCCTATGACTCGAAAGGAGAGATTGTCAGGCAAATTCAGGTGGATGGAGTATGTTTGTGTATGTGCACGTGGGTGTGTAGGGGGTGCGATATCTGTATAGACGGGAAATAAACCAGATATACTTACCGATGTCTTAACTGGCGTATTTTGGGGATGGTTCTGGCTCAGCAGATTGAGAAGACTTAGCTAACGTAGTAACAGATTGAATGTGTGCGGCACGTTGGGTCTGAGACAGCTGAACTTCATTTACTTCCCACAGCAGCCCCACCAGGCAGGTTCCATTATATCATCCTTGTTTTACAACTGAGAAGCAGGCTTGGCTTGCCAAACATCAAGTGGCAGAATCTGGCCCCCTGGAGCCTACCCATGGGCAAGTTAAGAATCTGTCCTAGAATATTGACATAATTCCACTACAGAAATTTCTTCTCCATAGGACTGTGTGATATTATCAGTCAGCATTATCCAGACAACTTGAATTCTAATCCTGCCTCCACTGCTTTCTGGCTGAGGACCACTGGAGAATTTTCCCAATTTCTCTGCTTCCCTTACCTCATCAATTAAATGTTATTAATGACAAAAACCCCTGGGTGACCTGGATGTCTTAAAGATTACACGAAATCACACATCTAAAGGGCTTTGCGCAGAACTCGGCACAAATTCTCTTGTGACCAGAGGCGGGTATGGCTCTTGCTCTGGAAATGATTGCCTTGAAAAGACTAAACAAAGCTGGTCTCTGGAGCCCTTTAACCTCCCCTCCCAGCCTCAGTCCTTAGACACGGAAGGGCCTCCCATGGCCAGCGCCCCCTTTTCTGGACCTTTCTCAAAATCTGCCCCCTGGAAACATCTGTCAAGTTCCTAACTTCTTTGAATCGGAAGCCACTAGTAGCCGCCTATATCTAAGGCTCACTGTGAGGTTTCAAAGGTGCAACAAGAGCGAAGCACGTAAGCGTATGCCGCCCACAGAGCAAAAGCAACTCGCCACCAGGCAGCCCCTGTAGCAAACGAGGGGCGGGAGCCAGGACGATCGAGGGCGCAGGCGCCTGGGCTCTACGGCCACGCCCCTACTTCAAGGCTGGCCAATGGAGAGCGGTAGACGGCGAGCGCGCGACTCAGGCGCTCCGGCTGCCTCTCCGGACCGCGCCACGGAGGGGGCACTTGACGTCACCAATGCGCGCCGGAAATGCGCGATCCGATGCGCGCCGCTTATGCTGAGGGAAGGAAGTTGGCTTCTGAGCGGCCTGGGCTCTGTGGACAAGGCCGCAGGCGGCAGCGGGGGCTGCTTCTACGTACTGAGGGCGGCGCGATGGGAGACGAGATGGATGTCATGATCCCCGAGCGGGAGATGAAGGTCAGAGACTGGCCGGGGCCTCCCTTTCTTCCCCAGTCCTGGCGTTGCTTTGGAGCCCGGCTGAACGGCGAAGCGCGGTGCCGGCTGTCCCGCCTCCTGTTTGAATAGTTTACCGCAGTTAGAGCTCTCACCGGCGTGTCCTGGAGCACTCTGTCGTGCCGCCGGCCGGAGAGCCCCACTGAATTCAGTTTCCCTGTCCCTTCCTCGTCTCGTGCACGCCTCTTGAGTTATACTAGGTACTTTCATGTGGTGGTCGCAGTAGTGGTAATAACTACTGTTTATTGAGCATTTACTGTGTGCCAGGCACTTTGGTAGTCATCATAGCAACCCTACGAAATAGTCGTTAATGTAGAGGAGGAAATGAGGCTCAGAAAGTAATTTACCCAAAGCCACGTTTGACAAGGGGGTTGAAAACCAGCGTCAATTAAAACCCTCTGTTCTTTGCTCTCCCTGTACTACTTCAGTAAGGTAGCCCAGGCTTGCCTAAGGTAAGGCCAGGGAAGAACATCCACCCTACAAAACCTTTAGTTAATTGGACTAAGAAGACTATTTTGGCGCCGGTTTCAGCCCAGAGTCAGGAAATTAAAGGGAGGGCCAGGTGGGCCAAATGATGGTAATGTGGGAGCCCCCTGGGGATAACTCCCAGAATGGTGTGTTTAATATTTAATAGTTTTTATATGTGTTCTTACAGGATGAGGGCACAGAGAATGAGCTACATTTATTTTAAACAGCTGACAGGGAGTGCGTTGCAGGAAGATTTCAGGCATTTGTGTGAACAACAAGTCACTAGAATGCATTTAGGGGATAGTAATCCATATCTTATTTAAAGTAGCGATTCTCTCTTCTTTCTTGAGACTCACTGCCTGTACTGAGCTGCCTGATGGGGATGTGTCATTCCTCAGCGTGCTGAGGTAAAAGAAAAGGGTTTAGAACGACAGATGTAAAAGATGGTAGTCTCCCTTTGAGTTACTGACTATAATAACGGAGCTTTTCGGTGCCTCTTCAACCCACTGGCTCTCTCCACCTATGTGACCAAGACCCATGTAGGATATTTGGGATTATCAGGATGAGGAGTACAGAAAAGACTGAAACTTTTATTGTATTCCTATGGAAAACCATGGTATGATCTCACCTGGAAAGCTGTGTGATATTTTACTCACCATGATCAGTTGGAACTAAGAGTGTTTCAGTTGATCTTTTAGAAAATAGGTATTAAACCACAAATCCAAGGAAATTAGTATGGGATTGTATTAGGGATTCTGTATGAAACACACCGTAAGAATCTAGTTTACAAAAATAAAGAACACGAAAAGCTGTAACAACTTTTTTTTTTTTTTGTAACAACTTTTGAAGTTTAAGCACTACACTGGGTCATGAGACAATGCATACCATGAAATAAGACAAGATATAAATAATGAAGTGTAACTTGGGTGGCAATTGACAGTAAATACACTAGGAATTTAGAAAAAAAGATCGGTGTAAGCCAGATTAGTCAAGGAAGGCTTCATGGAAGGTTCCCCTCCACCCCATTTATTTCATTCAACAAATATTGATGAGCACACTAGGCACTATGATAAGCACAGGGAGTTCAAAGACGATTGAGACAGTTGTTGACCTCAGTGTAATACATATTTTTGGTTGTACTGACATTGGGTCTACTGGAATATAACAACAGACAATACTTAATTTCCTGTTTTTCCCAAATTGATCTTATTTTGATTCTTTACAATAGGATTTTCAGTTTAGAGCACTAAAGAAGGTGAGAATCTTTGACTCCCCTGAGGAGCTGCCCAAGGAACGCTCGAGTCTGCTTGCAGTGTCCAACAAGTATGGTCTGGTCTTTGCTGGTGGAGCCAGTGGGCTGCAAATTTTTCCTACTAAAAATCTTCTTGTTCAAAATAAACCTGGAGATGACCCCAATAAAATAGGTAAGTTCCTTGATTTATGTTGCATAGTAGAGAGAGGTGTACAGTAGCATGCTAATGTTTCCTTCCCAAGAAATCTTTCTGATATTAAATTTAACACTTCTATTGGTCTTAAGGTTGACCCCCAAAAAGATAAGTTCCAGTTAGAGTGCTGGATGCCTTTCTGGGTTTTCTCTTTGGTCCTTTGTGGTTCTCTTTCAGTGAGTTGTTCCTCTGAGCTCAGAGGGAAGAAGAAACTACCATTATACCATACTTTTATTTTTGCTCAGTTGAACTTGGACTCTGACTCTCTAGGAGAAGGGTTTTGTTGCATGGATTTTCAGTTGGCATAACAGTTGAACAGAGAAAACTTGTGTATTCATCCAAACAAGTGGGAATGTGTATATTTGGAGCATTGTTGTAAAAATACTTTCAACAAGGACAATAGCCAGTTTCCCCAGGTTGTATGAGTAAGAATCCCTGGGATTCCTAATGCATGTATCTATGAGAAAGTTAGGATTTATCTGCATAGCTAGGTATCGAGGGAGTATGTTTGTTTATGTAGATGCAAAAATTGGTTCACATTGACCTGGATAAAGAGGTTATGGCTTTATGCTTAGAATATGCTGGTTTCTGCTTTGTCTTTTTTTGTTTCCATAGTTGATAAAGTCCAAAGCTTGCTAGTTCCTATGAAATTCCCAATCCATCACCTGGCTCTGAGCTGTGATAACCTCACACTCTCTGTGTGCATGATGTCCAGTGAATATGGTTCCATTATTGCTTTTTTTGATGTCCGCACATTCTCAAATGAGGTAAGCTATTGTTATACTGTAATGTCAATTGGGAAACTAAGGAGATTTCCTGGTATTGAGTTATAACTTGGAAGCTTTGTAAGTTAACTCTTGAAGTCTTTTTCTAGATTAAAATGTGGGTTTAAAAAAGTCTTTAATTATAGAATTATGGATCTTTGATATAGAAGGGACTTCAAGAAATTATTTTCATAACACCATCTGCCCCAAGGTGTTATCATTTCTCATTTACACATGAGACGACCAACCAGGGAAGCTTAGGTGACTTTTCCAGGGCCATAGAGTTAATAGATAATGTCAAAAGCTTTGGGTCTCTGGCCTCCTAATTCAGTGTTCTTCCATTCCAAGCAATATCTATAAGAGCAGTATCTATAATATCTATGTCATTGCTTGTAATATCTAAAGATGTTGTTATCAGAATGATAACAGACAATAATATTGAGTGTTTGTACTAGTATGCCAGGCCCTATGCTGAATGCTTTGTCTTGTGCCTTGTTCATGCCCACCACGGCCTTGTATAGTAGGTACTATTATCTTCATTTTATATATGGAGAAACAGGCTGAAAGCATTTAAGTAACTGTCCAAAGTCTCAACACTATTAAGAAGCAGAGCTAAGATTTTAATCTAGTGTCTGCTATTTACTGGTTATTTTGCATTTGTGTATTTCTGTGCTGGGAGTCCTTCTGAGTGTGTTAGAATAATTGATTGCCACTTTGAAAGTTGTGTTGAAACAGTCTGTAAGAAATAGATTGTTGTCTCATAGAGCTAAATCTTTTTTATGGTTATGGAGAAAAATGAAATGTGATTTGAGAAAACTTGTGTATTCAGTAGTTTCCTTTGAATATTAAATGTCTTATGCATTTATTAATTTATTAACTTATTTTGCTATTATCTATTTGTTTTAAAAGGCTAAACAGCAGAAACGCCCATTTGCCTATCATAAGCTTTTAAAAGATGCCGGAGGCATGGTGATTGATATGAAATGGAACCCCACTGTCCCTTCCATGGTGGCAATCTGTCTGGCTGACGGTAGTA